CGTTAACGGCAGTGCGCTTTAGAGTTCAGGGTTGTGTCTTGGCTTTTGGGGGTGAGGGTTTAAGGCTTCGGGCACAAGGAGTTGGGGTCTACCTGCATCTCAACAGCAGGATTTCAACTGCTCGCCGTGAATCCTGAATTCGCGGAGAGCCCGAAAGCATGAGCCCTCTGACGTCGGCAGAACCGTGAACTGCAAGCCTTGCTACAGTGCCATACTTAGGGTTTGGGGTTCAGGGCTTACCTTAGTCTTTCCTGTAATTACTTTTGTGGTGTAACTAGTTCATAGTCAGGCTCCTTTAATGCCCTCAAAAAGAACCGCAATGGAGACTCTAGTTAGGGCTGGTTTAGGGTCAGTACCGTACCTAGACCTGGCCCAGGCAGTGCAATACCGTTTTGGGTTTCCTCGTGTTGTTTGAAGACGCCCCCACCCTTAAACCCAAAAACGGTTTAGAGGGTGCTGCATGTTAGGGTCTGGGCAAAACAGAAGAACAATCGCAAATTGTCAGGACTACCCGAAGCACTGAACCCCCCAAAACGCTCGAAGGCTAGACCGCGAGCCCTTAACCCCTAAACCCAAAACCCTGAACCCTAGTTGGAATTTTGAGCTCTAATTTGAACCCTAAACCCTGAAACCCTAAACCCTACAACCCTAAAGCCCTAAACCCCTAACTTGAACCCCTAAACCCTCTAAAACCCAAGCCCGAAAATCGCAGGAGTCCCGAGGCAACTTCTGCCCCTCTGCTTCTTTGGACGCCTTGCCCTCCTTTCGGGGACGCGGGCGCGCGCGACACTCTACCCATAGGCCCCAAAGTAGTTCCTTTCTGGGGTTCATATTTAGAATCCTAGAAGGTACTCCCAAAAAGGAACTATTATGGGGCCCATGGGTAGAACTTGAATGGAACAGAGTTCCCCTGTACGGATTTGGGTTTATATGGCGAAAATATGTGCAACAGACTTCTTCTATAAGGGTTTGCATTTATATGGCTTAATATGCACAGAATAGGATTTACTAGGTATCGTTGCTACAAGTAGGTCGAGATTACATAAAGCACTGGTCCTTGAGGGCTGAACGTCGGTAGAGGTTCTGGCGTGCATGTCCATGGAGTCACATCGGGGTTGGGACATCGCTTCTTTGATGTCTCCGACCCGTTCTCTGAAGAGGCATACATTACGAAACCAAGCTCCGTAGCAACGTAAGAGCTCAACATGGCACGCTTCACCTGCAGCCCAGAAGCAAAAGGCTGCAGCATGATGCATATATGATATAGCGACTATGCCAGCATTGGGATGTTCTCCAACATGCCGGGGTGTCAGCGATGTACTACGTTGCCAAGCCTAGGACCTAGGAACTTGCCAGTGGAGTTGAAGTGCTGAAACGATCATCCTGAACTCCTAAACAGGAGGTTTAGGGTTTAGGGTTTAGGGTCCTAAATACCCGATATTTGACTTCAGCAGAGTTTGACAAGGTCGAACCTACAGCCCTTCCGAGTACCCTCCACCGGCAGCTTCCGTACGGTTGGATATCTGGGGCATGAGCCTACGGCCGCGAACCTACCAAGGCCCAAACCCCGAACCCCTGAACCGGTAAACCCCTAAACCCTCAACCCTAAACCCTAAACCCCTAAACCCTAAACCCTAAACCCTGAACCGGTAAACCCCTAAACCCTCACACCCCAGGGCCAAAACCCAAATACTCAAGCCGCTGAACCCTGCAACCAAACTTTTCGCCCCTGAACCCTCTCCTGGAGTCTGTGGAGATGCGTCTTGAGCCGCCTAGTCTCGCATTTGGCACAAGCAGAGGCCTTGTGGGTTCACATCTTGCGGAAGGGGCTTGAAGCTGGTGGCTTGTTCAGGTTATCCAGGGATTGCATGCTTGCGGCCGGGTTGCTTGGAAGTCTGCCCAATCTCCCTAAACGTTAAATCCCGAAACCCTAACTTTGAATCCTAAACGCTTAACGCTTTAGGCCGGGTTGTTAAATCCCAAAACCTCAAAATTTAATCCTAAACGCCTAACGCCTTAGGCCGGGTTGCTTATATGTCTGCTCAATCTCCTTGGCCTGGAGCTTCATCTTCTCCATTGCCTCTGAAGATGCCGGAGTCTATGGCGTGAGAAATCTTTCCACAGGTCCACAGGCAGTCTACCCATAGGCCCTAAAGTAGTTCCTCTTTGGGGTTCATATTTTGAATCCTGTAAGGTAATCCCAAAAATGGACTACTATGGGGCCTATGGGTAAGTGATGACGACAACAATGGGATGATTAAGTATCCTGTAGCTTGCAGTAGCACTCATTTTCGTTGCGGGTATTCTTCATGGAGCCATGCTGTTCATCATAGTTACCAGCGATGAAAACCACTCACGCCGTTACCGTCATCTACGAGGCAGTCCTACAGAAACTACGATTCAGAGTACTTTTCACCTGTTTCATATCTTCAACGCTCTCTCTCTCTCTCTCTCGCTGTACGCGTATATATATATATATATATAGATATATACAAACATGCACACTAAGACTAATACTAACTCAATGTACTGTGTACGCATATGCTCCTGATAGTGTTCACTTCAGTGGGTCAGGCCGGCAGGGCCTGTCATAACCGGGGCACAACAGGACTATTCGCATACTCGAAGCTTATCAAGACAGGCAGGACACCCACGAAGCTCTGCAGCACGCAGCCCCAAGACCCCCAAACCCTAAACCCCTAAACTAACCCACCCTAGACCGAAGCCCAAACCCTAAACCCTAACCTAACCCTAAACCGAAATCCTAAACCGAAGCCCTAAATCCTAAACCCAAAGCCCCCTGAACCGCAGCTGCCTGTGCGTGGCCTTTGGACTCCGCTTTCTGGTGATTACCTGCAGCATGATTCTCGCAAAGGTCCAACGTACGCATAGAGTATTTAACTACTTTGTCCTGAACATGGTTAGTCACTTAGTCCCTAGAATATAGGTACTTTCAGGCTTAAGTATCTAGTATCTGGCACACGGACCATGAAGTATCTTGCAGTACTGTATGCAGGAGTTCAGTCAGGGGTCTTATTCGGATGCCGTGGTCGGGGATTGGAGTGTAGTTTTCGAGCCCAGAACGTAGACTAGCTTAAACTACGATAGCCTACTACTGTATTGTAGGTTCTTATGACCAGCCTAGTACGGAATTTATAGGGGCGCTTCAACAAAGTAGGTTCTGGTAGGTTAAGATTAAAGTAGAGCTACAAGGCTTCAACCCTCAAATCTGAGCCGGGCACCATGAATCCTAAACCCTACAGGCCCCACACACTTGACTTTATTCATCCCTAAACTCCTAAACCCTAAACCCTAAACCTAACCTGTAAACCCAAATCCTCAAGCTCGAGCCAGAAACACTCAACTAAATCTGCCCCCGGAAAGGGCGGGGGTTTCTTCGCCGAGTGGCAAAGGATGGCGACCTGCCTGTTGGCGTCGTTGTAGAACTGAAGGAGTTGCTCCTGCAATGGGCACTAGGGTTTTAGGGTTCAGGGTTCAAGTTTAGGTTTTGGGTTTCAGGATAGGTTCAAGCAGCTTCTCGCAGAGCCTCCAAGTATCAACACAGCCAACGCTCGGCTATCTCAACCCTGAAGGTTTTTGCGGCATTTCTGCTCAAATTCGTCGGGCCTGCCATGGGCAGTGAGATACAGGTTTAGGGCTTAGGGTTGGGGATTTACGGGTTTAAGGGTTTTTGGGGTTCTCAGCTGCGTTTTGGGGTTTGGGGTGTCTAAGTACTGTGCAGCCAATGCTGTGTATGGCGTTTCGACCTGGGGCCCAGGGTGACAGCGGCTTTTTCTTCGAGAGGGGGCCCCACGCAAAAGGCGCATCTCAGCTGCAGGGCCTGTGCACGGCTTAAGATCTGAAGAAGAAACCCAAGCATTTCAGGCTTCTATGATGGAGTATGAAGGCTGGGCCTACGCACGACAAGGAAGATATCAAGGCTTGATGGGCAATGCCGAGATGTTACCGGCCATTGAGGGGTCAACTCCATTGGGCTACAGGAAGACATAAAGTGCTCAAGTTGTTCAAAGACGAAGCATTATTATAAACACACCCTCTTTGAAAGCCTTTGTGCGCAGCCAGAGGTATGTTCTTCAAGCTTGAACCCCACGGGTCGTGAACAAAAAGTTGCCAAAGCCTAATACACCGCAAAATCCTGGAACCCCATACCCGAGACCCTAAAACTTCAAAACCCCAGTCATGATTCCCAAAGCCGGCACGTCTAAGTCTCTGAAAGCACTCCTGAGACAGCTGAGACCTCTTGGACACATCGAACTTGTTCAGCTCGTCCCTCGCCGCACGCGACGTTGGGTTTCTCTTCCCGCGGAGGTGAGTATTCATAAGTAGACAATCATAAAAGAACGAACATTTGCACAAACAAACTAAGCATATCCCCTTATATGTATATATACACACACAGAAACATACACTTGAACAAAAACCTCCACCTATACATCTACATATGTGTATAGAGACAGACCCAGACATGTGGACTTGTAGTCATACAGACATTTAGACACAGACTATAGCGAGGCAGTCATGTACACTTACATATACACATACATGCATACATGCATACATGCATACATGCATATGCATACATGCATACATGCATACATGCATACATGCATACATGCATACGTACATACCTACATACATACATGCGTACGTACGTACGTACATACATACGTACGTACATACATACATACATACATACATACATACGCATTATGGTATGCATTGGTGAGATGTGTAAAAGACAGCCTGTTAATATGCCATCACCACGACATACAACAGCCGGACAAGAGGTATTCCAACATAGAATGTAGCTTCTTTAGCTTAACACACACTCCACCCTTTCCCACCCGACAAGCAAACAATCAGCCCAAAACCTAAACCCCTACCCCACAATTCCTACTGAGCCATGGGGGCTTGTGAAGTAAATGAGCCCATAACCAAAGCTCAGACTTCCAATCGTCGAAGGCCCCATTTGTTCCCAGGTCTCCGAGGTGCTGAGCCTGGCGTTGGCGTCAGCAGCCTTCTTGGCATCGCTGCTCCAAGAGGCTGGGCCTTTTTTCGGAGGATCACGGCTGTCGGGTTTAGGGTCTCGCAGTTTAGGTGCGTGGGTTTTGCTTTGATGATTGGTTTCGGGTTTCGAGGGTTCAGGAGTGTCTCTGAGATGCCTTCTGGATGCTCATAGCCAAGCCCCGGATCAGAAGAATCGGATAAGAACTGCATATAGGAAACCCGCTTCTGTTGAGCGTCGATTCAGTTGAGGGATCGTCAGTTTCGGTCACATCCCCAAAGCAGAGATTTCTTCTTTTTCCCTGAAGTTATCAACGTTTCCGCTGCTGGGTCTCCGACTAAGAAGCATCAGCAACAGTTCTCCGACATGCGGACGGAACCATGTCGTAGTGACGGCAATTCAGATCAACTGGAAGGTCGCCGACGAGTGTTGGCAGAAAAGCACATTTGGAACCATAAACCGCCAGAGTTAAACAATTAGAACACCCAACCCGGAGCGCCAGCATTCCTGGCATCAAATATAAGATCAACATCTGCACGTCGTTGTATCTGTGCTGTGACTTGAGTCACCGCACCGTGCCAGACCGTGCCCACCTGATACCCTCATACGCCCTCCGGATTGCAGGACAGCGTGGCGGTGGACCACCCAGGCTTGCCGAAGGAGCGCGTTCGTCAGCGCCCGGACCTACTCTTTCGCTGAGTTGACGATGCGGACGTTTAGTGACAGTCGCAAATGCCCTGAGACACCTGCAGGCCGCGCAGGCAAGCCTCAAAGCCTCGAAGCCTCGCTTAGCCTTGTGAGGAGAAGCTTTGGCGACTCTTAGGCCGGGCTCGGCTCCTGTCGCTGACTTGCTGATGCCCTTCCTCTCTCCTTCCTTGCTATCGCTGCTCTCCCTCCCCACTGCTCGTCCTTTCCACTTTTTGCTTTGGTCTGGTTTGGCTTCGGTCACTGCGCATGGATGAATCAGTAGAGGAACTGTTGAGTTGGAATGACCCATTTCGCTTTGCTTTACTTCCCTGTTTCAGGATCGCGTGGCACATGTCCAGGCGGTGGGGTGGCTTTGGTTTGACTATCCAGCGTGTAGATTCGGGCCACTTTCAACAGCATGTGAGACTGAATCGGGTATTGCCCGGCACTTGCAGGTTGCATGTGTGATGCATCGAGCATGGGTGTAAATGTTTTTGTAGTGTGCAAATGGCAAGGCCGTCGTGCCCATGTTGAGTCGGATTGATTCACCCAAGGAACTCCTCACCCTAAGGGTTCGGGTTTTCTTTCAGCGTGCAAGCCTGTTGGAGGCTTCACCAACGACTCCTTTGTTGCCTTCGCTAGCAGGGAGCCGCAGAGGGGCGTGAGAAAGCTGTCGCTTGAGGACTCCATATGTATTCTAATGTATCGCGTCCAGCAGGTTTGCGTGTCGAATCTACCGGAGCTCAGGTGATCCGGCATTTCGCTTCCACATCTGGGCACGGCAGCAGCGATTCTTTGACCGTCTTCGCCTGGATGCCGAGAATGCCGAGCCTGGATTCCGGAAGGATATAGGTGTTTCCTGCTACATCATTCGCAGTGTCCGGAAGAAGACGGCGTGTTGTGTTACGCTATGCCCGCTATGTGCTTTTGCAATTAGCTCGTTGAGTCGGCGACTAGGCTGTCAATCGTGCTGCCTGTTGTGTTTTTGAGATCGCGCAGCCAATGTGAGTCGGTGAGGCGAGGTCGAACTTCTCAGTTTCTGCGTAAGGCTTGAGGTGGGAGCGTGATAATAATCTACTAGTGGGTCACTCTGACTGTGCTAGAAAGTCGATTCGATGCAGATCTGGACTAAGTTCGCGGTCTGACAAAGACGGCGGTGACGCTTCCAAGCGTCCGCGGCCCAGAAATTGAATGCAATGAAAGTTCGCACCCAGCGCTTCGTGCGGCACTCAGGTGCAGGATCTTGGAGGTCCTGGCACAACGCGAGGCACTGAGTCGACATGACCTCGTGCACCTAATCGCATGGGAGGGGGCTCCGTGGTAGCTTGTCCCAGACTGGCCCAAGAACTTCAGAGGTTGGGACCCTTCCTTCCGCCCTCGGCATCATCCACCGGCTGCACCAGGTGGAGCCGGCGCTGTTGGTGTGGTTACAAGTTGCTCTCACCTTTGACAGGCTGGTGGTGTGCGACGGAAAGCAGACGTGCAGAGTGGTGGACGTGGGGCGGCTGCGTGAGGAGCAGGTGCGCAAAGGATGTGCTGCATGTAAGACTTCTGCAGTTTACACTACAACATCTCACGGTATGCTGACATGATTTCAAGGCGTAAGAGTGTCCGATGCTAACACTAGCTTGTTTGGCTTGGCTGCTGCGCTGCTGCACCACCAGTCTACTATCAGAGCATGATCCCGGGCATATAGACACGTGACAAGTTGCTATCAAGAAAACCCATCGCTTTGGCTGGCCAGGTAGAAATTGACCGCTACTGCTCCAAGAGGCCAGTGCTCACATGATTCGACGACATTTGTTTCAAGGTTTGATGGAGTGCAAAAGGTAGCTTGCAGCAGCTTGTTGCTGGATTGCGGACTGCTCGACATTTACACTCACCTCTTCTCTGCCGAGTCTTACGCGTTCTCCTCCGACCACACACCACTGGCCTCTTCAATCTGGAAAGCTTCCCAAAGTGCAGGCTGCTGCGGTCCTCCATAGGTGCACATCCACTGGCCGTTACCACCTCGCGGCTTGGCTAAATCTAAAGGTACCGTGTTGTCACGAGATGCCTGGTTGCTGCGGGTGCCCGTAAATAGCAGCAACCCATCCGTGATGCTGATTGATCTTCCCGGAGCTGCCAGGTGGCCTCTGAATGAGGTGCCGCACTGCTGTGCGGCGGGAGGCTGCTAGCCTGAAAAGATGGGTCGTTGTCGGGATTATGCAGACGGCTTCTGTCGAGGGCAGGCCTGATTACGGTTTTGCACGGCTTGGAAAGCCAGCCCTACAAGGATTCGCGCGAAGGGTCTTGACAAGCCGGGCTCTGTTTTTTTTGGTGTTTACCTGAAGCCTTCGGTAGATGATGGATGAAGACAGAGAATGCAGTTTGCCCAGAGCAAAAGCAGATTCGGCCCGGGCACAGCTGCGGCCCTTCCGAATTCCCTCCTTCCCAAAAGGCTCTGACGCCTGTTTTAGAAGCCGAGGAATCGTTGCTTCCCGGCCGGCGCCAGGAACAGGCATCCGTGTACGTCTACGCTCGATCGTAGCCTTGTGCAGACAAGAGTTCGCTCTCCAGAATCTGAAGACTTGACTCAGAAGAGATATGGAGAGTTTGGTCAGAGCATGCAGGCGTGCTTCCTCGCAGCTCGGTCACGCTGCAGTGGTTGGATTGATGCTCAGAGCAAAGCTGGTTTCCTGTGGAGACAGAACCCGAGCCACTGGCAGAGGAGCTCCCGGAGTTCGACCGCTTCCGCGCTTCTCTCAGAGCCCCGTCCTGTGAGTTTTTCGCTGGAGATGGCTCTGAAGCTCCGACGAAGGATTGCAAAGGAATGAAGCGGGCGATGAGAAGGTCGGGGCATTTTGCGGTTGGTAAGTAGTGTTGATCTCATGACGTGTTGCGGTGTCCCGCTGCTGGGAGCAGACCAGAGCCACTGGGCCTAACGGCCAACGCATGTCAGGTTGAGGCCGAGGCGCCTTGCTACAGCTGAGAGCTCAGCCATCTTGTGTCTGAAGCCCTGCTCGCAGCACACTCGGGCTTGTGATCTTCGAGTTGTTTTGCGAAGGCCCTGCATTGAAGCCTCGCTCGCCGTCACTGGCATCAGTCCTGTTCTCAGCATAGCTGCCCAAACCTTGAGGCGGTCCGAGATGTCGAGAAATGTCGAGACGTCGAGGACATGTGTCTGCCAAGGCGAAGACATCGCCGGTTCTTTGCCGACAGAAGTCACCCACCATGAAGGCGAGGCCGTGGAGAAAAGCTCCCTAGCAGATTCTTCGACTTTGGCAGAGTGTGGGCCGGTCTGAATATATGTTGAATCGTGTCGTTTTGGGCACAATGGGCCTCGGAGGCCTCTCCGAGCGCCTTGGCGCCTCAGGCAGGGGCAAGTGGGCGTGTTGAGGGTCTGCGAAAAAAATCTGCGAACTTATTCCGCTCGGACCTGGTGCAGAACGATGCGGTTCCCACAAGAACCTCGGTGTTGCAGGACGGGGCGGTTGAAATGAAAGCTGTCGTGGCTGTAATAAGTCGATGATGCCACGGACGAATGCAGGAGCAGCTTCTTGCCGCTGTGTCAGACGTTTCCGAGGCGGCCAGCTCGATTCACGGCCCAAGTGAAGTCAGCCTTTGTGGCAATCTCTGGCAGTCCGCTCCTGCCTGCGTTATCGTCGAGGGGGCGTGGCCGCTCCATGGCCGCCAGGCCTCGTCAGAGTTCGGCTAAAGCGGCCAACCTCAGCTCGCAGATTCCTGACAGGTGCTGCTGACAGCTGGGACCCTAGATCCTCACAGATGCTGCTGGTAGTGAGCTTTCGAGGTGGTGTGCTAGGGCATGCTAGGGCGCTCTTGCCGCCACGATCTGCAAAGCACTCCGAGGGAAACGTCGCACATAAGGTCCGCGAAGTCATCGCATCCAGCCCATCAACAGGCGGGGCCATCCATGGCAGGAAGGGGTATCCCACAGAGAGGAGGGAAGAGAGAAAAACGAGTGCAGCCACTTTGGCCATTACTGCACTTGCGATTCTCTGTGAAGCTGTGGAGGAAGGCAGGAAACGACTATGGGAGCAGAGCAGGAAGGGTGGAATGCCTGGACGAAATGAGACATGCAGAACAAAGGCCACACCAAAGACAGGCAAAGCACCTCTCCCTGATTCTGAAAGGCCCTTCCCTCCCGATTCTGTAGCTGTTTCGAACCCCATTTGGGTAGTTCTCCCCCTTTAGGGTCCCTTTAAGGGTCCTTTTTTTTTTTTTAATGGTGCCCTACTTCCCTGGCACTGAGAGGCCCTTTGAAGAGCCCATCCTTTCGAGCCAGCGCCTCGCCGAAGGCTCATGGGCCTTTTGGACGTCCCTTGCAGTCACCGTTTGGTTCGGATGCACTATAACACCTTATGGTTCCTTTTGGTACCTTATTATAGTTCCATTTGGTACCTCCTTATAGCTCCTTTTGGTACCATGGTACCATAAATAGGTAGTACCAGCGGGGAGTATTTGTGCAAGCCTCGCTTGAAGGGCCTGCTGGCAGAGGCGATGCGAGGACGGTGTCGGGTTTAGGGCTAGTGCTGCAAGATGCAACGAGAGTTTCTCCCTGCATGCAGGCTTGAGGATGCATGTTTCAGCAAGCACATCTTTGGAGGCGAAACACCTCATTTGTTGCTATAGGACTCGTTTTTCTTGCGTAGGTATGTAGGAAACGGCCCGGCGGCAGGGGGCATCCAGAAAGGACTTAAATGCATTCGGTCGACGCCTCGCAGAATGGTCGGTTTTCAACGCGCCATGGAGGTGCAGATGATAGGACCCCCAAACGAACTCGTGGTTGCATGGAAGCCATGCCAGCCGATGAAAGGAATGGTCCTCCTCGGTTGTGGCATGTACAGACAGTCACTGACGGGCCGCTTAGCTTAGCAGCGACGATACTTGCATCCTCACAAGCCTGCAGAAGGAGTGCCGCTGGCCCCGCTGGAACTCCCCCCGCAGGCCGGAAGTGGTTTCACACAGGAGGGCTTCTAAGCATCTTTATGGAACTGTCAGCATTCCAACGTCTTGTGCCACAAGCTGCCTGCACGCAAGACTGCGGGACTTACAGGGACTGCCCTGTCGATCCCTTCATGTATCTTGTATGCAAGGGCGCATGGGGGCCATTAACACGGCCTGGCAGTAAACTCGCTCGTGTGGAGCTTCCAACTCTCGTGCACCAGCGCATCCTCTTGCAAATGCCTTGCCTGTGGTCAGACCAGCTGTATTACATTTGTTAGAGTGGATGTGTCCAGCTTCTTCGTGAAGGCCGCTGCCGCGGCTGCCCAACTTCCCAAAGCCGAGGATCAGGCAACCACGTATGCTGGATCAGCTGGATCATACTGTAGGGCATGTTTGAATTGGTCGTTCACTCTTTCTCAGAGAGTGACATGTTGTAGACTTCTGGGCAAGCACCACCTGCAGGCATGTCAGGGAGTTCGGCACTGGTTGCAGGCAGTGAACCTAGAGTTGATTTTATGGTGATCACCTGGTAGACTGTTTTGGACATGCTTGGGCTGCTGATTCCATCGCATTCCATGCTCGCGCTGAGGTTTGGGATCTAGCAGAGGCGCCTTGCAAGGTGCGTGGTTCTTGCTTGTAGCTAGCATGCGGAGCAGGTTTCCAACCTTAGCTGTGATGAAGTCTGCTCAGGAGGGATGACGTGCATATAAGCTGCACGCCACAATGACATTGTTTGCCCACTACCCTCCCAGCATCTTTGAAGGCTTGACCGCACGTACAGCAGTTTGTCGAGTTTCGCCTGCCGCAGGAAGTGGCGCTAGAGCCGCGTGCTTGCATGGCAGTGGGTTCACAGGTGTTCGCCTCAACATATTCTGTCAGCAGCAACGGGATCTGCAGAGGTTCAGTGTAGGTAGGCCGAGCCCCTGTAGTTATGCCATCATGAGCAGCATACAGATTCCACAGGATTCTTTCAGCTGGATTCGAGAGCTGAAGGTGACTTGCATCGATACTCTCAAAGTTTCTTGTGCGGATGGAGGCAGGATGCCTGGAGTCAAGGGTCGGCTTGCAGGCGACGAAGTTTGATCGCAGGTGCAGCGCCGCTCCTCCTGTACGGCGGAGCCTGCTTGCTTGCGGTGCTTGCGCTTTCGACAGTTCACCATCGCTTACCTGTTGAAGCTCTGTACCTGCCAGGCTCACGCTGTGGCACCGTCTGCCTTCAAAGCTTAGAGCAGGCGCTGCTGGCACTGAGGGGTTTGTGCAGAACCTCCATGACCTTTCGCCAAGACTTTCACTTTCGATTCCCACGTCGCGAGTATTGCATAGTGCAGAGGTGCCGGAGAGCCGCGCCTCCTGGGCCGTGGAGGCCATGCAACCGTCGTGGCCTGGTTGCTGACGGTTTTGATGCCATGTGCAGTGTGCCAGGCCAACTTCGGGACCCTCGTGGAGGTCTTGCTCCGTCCAGGCAGCCAGAAGGACTTCCCGAAACAGCTCTATTTGACGCAGCACTCGGTTAAGTTTTTCTTCTGTTGAGTTCTGCCTGCGAAACGGTGCAGGTCAGGTGAACTTGAGAGGCATAGATCCACACACAAACCTCCCGCCGGCAACCCATGCTGGGTGAAAAACGCACACCAAAGCGGGACCTCCGCCCCTGTCCTTGAGGGTTTAGGGGATGTCCGCGAGCAAAATCCCACACCGTCCCTGACGTGGCAGAGTCAGATGCAGAGGAACATTGTCCTTCTGCCGACCTCTAAAGCCAGGTATGCCGCCGCCAGACCAACCAGTGCGAGACGGCAGAGATCGGTTAGAAGCCATTAGTTGTTCAAGTTTGGCAGGAAGATCTAGCCCGCGATCGGACTCTTCCTGGCCCGGACCGGATGATGCGTGCATCTGATGGAACAAGCAAAAACGGAGATCTGAGGATTCCACGAGTTGATGCCAAGACATCGAAACTGGTTCCCTCATGCAGAAGGTTGTGCCACGTGTGTTTGCAGCACAGGGTAAAGCTCCGATTCCAAAATACCGAGCATGGCCCCACCAAGACAATGGCCAGCATTGTAAGCATTTGCGAGAAGGCAACACAGAAAGAGAAAGCAAACAAGGCCGCCAGCAAGCAAGCCTGGCAGGGATGGATGTCCCTCCATGAAGCCGCCATTGGCGTTTGCGGCTTGAATCGGTTGAAACAAGCCCGATCTCGCTACACATCTTTTCGGTAGCTCGTATGCGACACACGGGTCGGGATACGGTGTAGTGCATACATAACCCGCGATCCCTGCTGACACGCCGTCAGTGGACAGGTCTTGTCGCTAGCATTACGTAATACTGGCACTTGTACCAACACAGGACAAGGGTGAAATAGCAATAATCATGAGATGTCATACGTACATACATACATACATGCATGCATGCATGCATATATGTATAGGTAAGGTTTCGCCACAGTCGGCAGGAAGCAGACCTTGACATGAAGTCAGATATAGCTTGCACAAGCTGTAGTGCTACAGCGTCTGCCTTATCATAGTAGGCCTTGAGCACCTGCCATTTCAAGGGTGGAGGAGCTTCTGGACAGGTGCATCAATGTCACCATATACAAACATAACCATCACGTGCTTGCAACTCGGGGGCTTGGAACATTGCTTTGGCTTTGCGTGTGCTTTGACACAGGAGTCCACTTCCGATGTCCTAGTGGTGGTAGCACAGGACGCCGCTTGAAGCATGGGTCGAAGTTCCTGGCAGCTGCCGATCTGCCGAATACCTAACGCCAAGCCGACAAGCAGAGTACCTTGTGAAGACAGGAGCATGGGGTCTTCTTGGGGCATGCTAATGCTGCCTGGCACCAAGTATGCATGGCCCCTGACATGAAAATTTTAAGAGTCGCGCCAACATGCAGGTTTTGATCCCATGCCGTGGTCAGTGAGAGAATCGGTTTGGGTTGATTCCGCAGACAGCCTCCTGCCTACAGGCCTATACTAGTTACTCGCTGGCCCCGGCTAGAAAGTCATCGCATGGGAGTTGGATGTATCTTCAGCTCACCTGGACCTTGCTGCACCGAAGGCGAAGCGGAATCCATCCGTTGGCACATTGACCAGAGCGCTTCCAAACAAGGCCGATCGTTCAGCATCATGCTGCTAAGCATTACCACCAGCAGCGATATGTATCAGGATTACTTGAGGATTACTTGTGCAAGTCTAACTGTGCGCAATCACTCGATATCATCTGTGATTCTGGAGCTGGGATTTGGCCGCGGCTATATCTTCTCGCTTTCTTGCCTTATGTTGTTGGGGTTTCAGCCCCGTCGTCAATTTATGACATGCAGACTGCACACGATGAATCCAGGTGAGGGAACATCTGCCAACAACTAGGGAAGCTCTTACGGATTGCAGATCCTTGATCAGACGTGCTCGAGATGCAGGGCAAGGATTGCACAGGGAGGGGAGAGACAATCTCGTGTCAAAGCCAGGGGATGTAACTAGAGTCTTGCTGAACTCCTGTTGCACCAAGCCCTCATTCATGCTCTTGCAGCTCCTGGAGTGCCATGCAGGCTACCCAAACGAACACCTTAGTCCAAGACATGGATGTACGGAGAAGGCGTCAGCCTCTTCAACACACGACCCCCCAACTCTGCTGGGACGGATGCAAAGAGAAGCCAGCGAGAAGACGAGGAGTTTTCTTCTTTAGCTCCAGAGTGGAAGGCTGCACGGCAAGTCATGCTTGGGCGATTGCAGCTTGGAAGGAAATCGCTGCCAGCCTGAATGTGGCATCCCTGCAACCTGCCGGAGACTTAGGGGCCATAGGGCACTCAACATAGATTGACATGTGCTTTAGGGCGTTTAGAGATGTTGCTGCTTCGGCAGATCCAGGTTGGAGCCTGCGGCTTCGCTGTTTGCAGCCCCAAGCACGTCTACGCCTTCCAGGCCCCTGGTGACTGCGACCGAGTTGCGATGTCGGAGCATCTGAACTTTCCAGGCTGAGGCTGGCACTGCAGCGCTGGTGGTTGTTGTCGAGCTTCCGGGGATTCCGGCAAGCCCGGACACGAGTTGACCACCGCGAGTCATATCCGGCGAGTTCTGGACTTGAAATGTCGATCCGAGCCCCGGAACTGTTCACTCTTGCCAGGTTCGTCACTTCTACGCGACACCGTATGAGTTCTTCGCGGCAAGCCCTTGTGCTTTAGTCCTTTAGACTCATAGAGCATCCAGCATCTTTCGCGCATTTTCAGGTACTCGCAGGGGAGGGCTCCCACAAACGACGAACAGCCATGCGCTCGGGGCGGGGCAAAGCGGCAGTTCGTGTCCATGCGAGAAGCGAAATCTGGGCCTTAAAGCAGCCTCTTTAAGCTGAAGCACTGTGGATCACTGTGGCGATAATACGTGAGTCTGCAGCCACTCTAAGGTGTGCTGCCTGTGGCCTACAGTGGGAGAATCCAAGGAGCGGATGCGAGATTCCCACGAAGTCTCTTGCTGCCGAAATTGTGCAGGCCACCCGTGCCTGCGCGTCCGCAGTCAACCTTTACGCTCGAGTACGAGGCACCCGGCGGATCCTCAAGATTGGAGAGATACTCCGCCCGTGAGTCCTCTTTGATAATCATGAGCTCCAGACGTTCACGAACTCTGCTGCAGGATCGGAAACGGCGGAACTGCTGGAGACCACGGCCCGGGACTCGAGCATTTTCATCGTTTCCAGAGTTCGGGTGTTGTGCGAAACTATGCAAGCTTCAATGGCATACGTTGGACCACTCTGCTTTGACCTAGGAGCGTGTTTGGCTCTTCTCCCTTCAAATTTGCAGCTTGTGACAGTCCCCGGCAGAGGCAGTGGCCATGGATCTCTCAAAGGTGCTGCTGCCAAGAGCTTGGGCGTTTTCTGTTTGCTTGACAACCATGCAAAAACTACGGGTGGTTTCCAGCCTCGATCGGGTGTCTTTCGAGCCTGAATCTGAAGGCACGGTGCCGGCATCGACACAATGGCGTTGAACTCCTCTCCCGGCCAAGGGTCAACCCATCCTGTTAAGGCTTCGGGTTTAGAGTTTAGGGTGTTCGTGTCCTCTGCTTCGTCCGGGCCAGGGCTGCAGCGTCACGAGCCAGGTCTGGACTGCTGGCAGTCTCCTCGGTGGGCTCGGGCATCTCTGTCTTCCGGTGGGGAATGGAGGCCGGAGTCTGCCAGGCTGCGTTCTATCTCCGATTCTTTCCATCAGCAAATCTCCTTGCCCCTGAGATGCAGGTGAGCCCGGATCTGGAGAGGATTCGAGATCTTCGGGAGGAGTGTGCAGCGCAACAGGCTTGCACAGCCTCGGGCCCGACTTGGAGCCTCCTAGTCCTCCGAACTCGAAGGCGCACGAGCACCACCTGGAGACCCTGCGGCGGCAGCTCCAGCGTCTGCAGCAGCGTCTGCAGGTCTCGGTCTGAGCATTGGCTTGGCTTCTGGCTGAGGAATAAACCCCTGGCAGGAGGGATTGCAGCATGTGATTGACGTGTTTCAAGGAGACGGAGAGGCTCGAAGAGAAAGCGCAGACAAAGGGGAGCGAGGCGTAAACTGTGTGTCTCTTCACAAGTGTCTTCGTCTGAGCAAGAAGCTTCGACCGTTGCCAACACCCAGCTGCAACTGAAGAGCTGATTTGCTTTGGAGGCCTTGACAGAGGAAGAGAAGGCCAAGATCCAGCGGCGCGGGCAGGCCTTTCGGTCTCAGCGAGCCCTGAGGCCCAGTAGTTGCTGTAACGACCGTGACGAGCTTTTCGTCGAAGACTGAGCCTTGCAGATATGCGGCTTGGAACACAAGGAAGCGGGAGAGTTGAGAACGAACGAGATCAGCGAGTTGGAGGGTTGCCATTGCAACAGTAAGAGCAAGGGAACGTCGCTTTTTCATTCGAGCCCGGGACCCAAAGCCTCCAAGAGCCTCTAAGATCCTCGTAAGGCTCAGTTATGACACCAGTGGACAGAGATGACCTGCTGAAAGTACTTCGAGAAGTTTCTGCTACCACGCTATGGACACGGCTCCTGTGTCAGGTAGAAGCAGACATTGAGCGCGTCACACATGAGCTCGGCATGGTAAGAAGCTCAGACACTAGCCGCGTTTTGGGTGCGGGCCAGTGCTCTGTGCTGTGTGCCCTTTGAGCCTCTACTTGCGCTGGGAGGGATACAAAAGTCGAACCAAGCATGTCCCATACGTGTTTTTCACTAAGGGACGAAGTGAGATGTCCACATGTCATGCTCCCCTTTGCCAGGACACCGGCTCGCAGGCGGCGATGCGATGCTTTCTGCATGTTTGCTGCCTCGCGAGACGGACTTGAAGTGCTAGAGCCATCTCTTGTGCAGGAGGAGGATGAAGAAGATCCTCAGGAGGCAGGGCATGGCAAATCGTGCCACGTAATCAACCCTTGGCAGCACAGTTTCAGTCGACCAGGAGCGGGATCAGGAAATGGCTCGTCACAGACGCGAGAAGGCCAGCACCGCTCCCAGCCTAGGTTGTGCGCAACTGTACTGAGATCTCAGATGTCATTATTAATGGAGTAACCTGAGCCCGAGTGTTTGCAGGAGCGCATCCAGAGGAGGCACCACGAAGACAAGCGGGCGATGCAGAAGGATCGGCAGCACTATATGAAATGAGTAGTTTCGATGGCATCCTCTTCCTTCTGTTACGATCTGTGACGGATGGCGATCTCTGAATGCAAGGAGCGGCGACAAAATCGTGAAAGGAAATTCTCCGAGTGATCCAGAACGACGAACAGGCAGCCTTTTCAGTTCATTCCCCGAAAAGGCTTCATGACATTGGATTTGTAGAACACTGTTGCCGACCTTCGGCCCTTGAACTCTCTTTTCAGAGCGAGGGGTGGTGGCCCACACCGCCGTGGAAAAGACCCACATTGAGCCCACGCCACACATGTTGTCACTACTTGCGCAGCATTTGTCTCGATGTAAGCGAAGAAGGCCAAGACATGGGCTCGCGTGGCAAGACGGAGCACCAAGGCCAAACACAGAATAATTCAGTCTTTTAGATGGTGCCTGCAAGTGGTTTATGAGCCCGGCTTCGTGGAAATCTGAGAAGAATTGATAGTTCTTGAGCAAAGCACCCGCGTCTTGTAGGTTCATGTCTGGCACATAAACAAGTGATGGGCGTAATGCAGTTCGGCTATCCCGACAGTGTCTCTAAACTGCTCGCATCTTTACATAGAGACTTTTTGTGTGATCCACATAGAATTAATTGCATGTGTCGTACAGCCTGCTTGATGCGCCTGCTGACTGATTGGGAGAGACCGTCAGGCCATATGCGTAAGTTGGAAGGATAGTTCACAGAGTAGGAAGATCTCTCCATTGCATTGTTCGGCTCAATGAACCTATCCACACATGCACCGCCTCCCCAATCAGACTCCAGGCTGGCTTCCCAGCCAAGCAGGATTTCTGCACAGGCCCTCCGAATGGAACTCAGTCCCCTCACGGCCTTGCAGCACAGATCCTAGCTGGACCCCGTCCGGCATGCATGGGAAAGAGTCCACGGATAAGACTACGGGTCATTGCGCTGCAAGGCCTGTTTACCGCTTGGCGCTGAACGCATGCGTGGTTTGTGCCAGGGACATTTGTGTGCCCGCTTCGTTAGACAAAGATTGCGACCAGCCCGCTCAGCGTGTCCATCGCTAGCGAACACGGCACGGCTTCAAGCCGCACGAAAAACACCTGATCTGGCTGGCCTGCAGGCTAAATCAAGCAAAGACCTTGCTTTTCAATGATTTAAAGCCTAATAGCTTTGCAGTTTACGCAAGAAAAGAGCCATGAGCCTTGCCTTGTCATGTGGTCGCAGGGAACCCCCTTATGGGCTCATGCCTGGTGGCTGATTCAGCCGCAACTGGGCGAGAATGCTGGCACCATGGAAGCGGTCTTGGCACGAGAGATTAGTATTGCGGTGAGCCGGCGCACACTGATGTTGAGATTAGTTTATCGGCCGTCCTGTCGCGAATGCTGCCCCATCTGACATCCGAAGCATCCAGCTTGGAGCCAACAGCTATAGGTCGAGCCATGCTCTGACATTTCCAGGTAGCATCGGTCCGATTGGGTTGCTCAGTAAAGATGCCGTTGATTTCCCAGCGAAGTGGACTTCTCAAGATACTGATACCAAGAACACGGACTGGCAGAACCGATGGTCAGTTGCGGTAGAGGCTGCTGAAGCCTGTCACTAGACAGACGATACGCGTACAGTAACTCCGAGCCCTCTCACTAAACTCACCGGTGGTACACTGCTTCCCCCGGCCCAACTTAGCCCGACTCAGCTCAGCAGACAGACTTACGCCCTTAAAGGGGGGGGGGGGTCCTGGAGCTGGGTGCGCCATGGCAAAGTTTCTTTCATGGCGCTTCTCCGGATGCCAGGTCCCGAGTTGCCGAAGAGGAACAACTGAAGTCTTAACTTCTCGAAGTCGTCTGCACACTAAGTCTTCGGGCGAAGCCAAGCCGTGGTTCGGGCTTCGGCCGTCCTGGCCTCGATCTATCGCAGCGCTGAATGCCTCATGTGGTCAGCGCGACGGGGTGGGGCGCCCATGCCAATGCTAAGGCCGGCTTGAGACACAACTGAGAGCCTGGGCCTGAGCCGTTCCACCGAAGGCAAAGCTGGGGTGCATCGCACACAAGACCAGTGGACAGCTGCAAAAGCTGGCAAGCATCTTCTCTTGACAACAGCTTGGGATCAGCAAGGACACGAAAGAACTGCTTTGTAGACGGCGTAAGTAGACACGAAGTATGCACGAAGATGCCGTTGTTCCGTTGATGTTGACCCAGAGACAGACGAGCTCGGAAGCGCGAGTCATCACGGCGCCCAGAGGTTCTTCAACACATAGATTGACATAGATTCTCAGCCAATATCAGCCATGTTGGCGGTAGATGGCGGTTTCGCCGGATGCCTTGCTGGCGCTGCTGTTGGTGCATGCGTGGGAGCTCTCTGGACCAAGAAACGGGACAGAGGCCTGCGACTTTCGAGTATGGGGGTCAGGAGTCTGCCTTCCCGAACATGTATAAGAAAGCGATGCATTAAATGTGTGTGTGTGTGTGTGCGTGTATGTGTGTGTATCTCTCTCTCTCTCTCTCGCATGCGCATGTGTGTGTGTGAGCAATGAAAAAGCTCAAGCAAAATTTTTGAACGTTGAGTGCTGGACTAGAGTTTACGCACCTGCGCTGAGCTAGTTCATCCCTGTGTGATTGGTGTGGAAGCCCTTGTATGGCCGGTTCTCTGAGGTATTCGAGCGCTTGTCGTCTTTTTCGTTTAACATTGCCAACGACAAAATTTGCATGAGCTGTGTATATCCAATCTACTTGCTTTTAACCCGTTATTTCCCCCTATGACGGGCTAGGCACCACACCCTGGACAAGGTGAAACTGCTTGTTGGCTTACTGGTTTAGGTGCTCCTCCGACGACACCGACCGCTCCTGCAACTGCCACTGCCATGTAACTGCACAGACGGGGACGACCTTCTTGATCTTTCGCATGGCGAGGACTCCCGACCACCCGCATTCACCCACCGTCCACCACAAGCACCATCACGGCATTGCAATCCATTGCAATCCATGACTGGTCCATTCCCATGACTACAGCCACTACCGCCACCTACATATTGGTACTGTTACAACCCCAAAGCCGTGGGCCCCAGCCTGTCCTGGAAGGCCGTTCTCCTACGCGTCAGCTGACGATGGCGTCGGAGAAGTTGCGACCTGATGCCTTGCTCCATCCTTTCAGGGTGACCGGACTGAGAAGTAGGGAAGGAACGGAGGGCAGAAGTTCCTTTGAGCACCTGTCAGCCGTTGTTTGGTCCTCTTAGCCCTAGCGTGAGAAATTCCGTGGCTATTACTTCCATAAATAAATAAATAAATATATATATATATATGTATATGTATATATAAGTATACTATAGTATATTATAGTGCATCTTTTGGTGTGTTATACAGTATATATTATGCAGCTAGGCGCAGCAACTGGATGTGACCCACGAGCCCCCCGTGTCGCCACAGCCTGACTCTCCGCGACACCCGCGAGAGTAACTCGGCTTACCTTAAGGTTTGTTTAGGGTGTAGGCTTGTGTTTTGTGCTCGGGGCTTATAAGTGGTGATGCAGAGCCCAGGTTCAAGCGCCGAATCTCCGGCAAGTTCTCCATGAATGAGAACAAGGCAACGTGTGTAGCGGTGCAGCCACTTTAAATGATGTTATGGGCATGACTAACATCCTTCCTGTGCAGTTCGGGTCCGGGGCGGTATTTCTTTTACCGGAGCCTGGGTAGAGGTATTGGAGCAGAAGGTCGTACTGGCGATGGTCGGGCTGCCTGCGAGAGGTAAGTCCTACATCTCGAAGGCAATTGTCCGTTACCTCAATTTCGTGGGGTGCCCTACGCAGCTGTTCAACGCGGGGAATTTAAGGCGCTCGGCGGGCAAGAGCGGTGTGGATGCCAACTTCTTTGACAGTTCCAACGAGAACGCAAAGAAGCTTCGGGACGAGCTGGCGATGGAATGCCTGGATCAGCTTCTGGCCTTTCTGGAGAAGGAGGGTCAGGCCACCGCCGTTGGCATCCTGGATGCTACGAACACCACGCTGGAGAGGCGGAGGAAGGTCAAGGAACGTGTCCTAGCCCACGCAGGCATCCGGCTCATTTTTTTGGAGTCCATCTGCGACGATGGGGCCATCCTGTCACACAACTACGATCTGAAATTGGGTAACGAGGACTACGTGGGAATGAAGGCCGAGAAGGCTCTCCAGGACTTCTTGGACCGCGTGGAGCAGTATGCCCAGGTCTATGAGCCTGTCGAAGACGGAGAGTGCTCCGATTCCCGGCGCATCCATCGATGTATTTATTGTGTTCCGTCGAAGCAACGAGCGCCGAGCAGCACTCTGTTACGTGCACTTAGGACAGATGTGGCTACATCAAGCTCATTAATGCCGGGGCAGCTAGTCTTTTTCAGTAGCCGTTATTGTAGTCGTGCTGAGAGTTTGGCTGGTTGCATGATAGTGCCTCCGTGGGGCTTCAGGAAAAATTGATCTGTAATCACTGCCGCTCCAAAGATGATGAGTACGGCGTGATGAGGCGAGTGCGACTGTGAAGCTGAAAAGGTAGGACTCGGGGCAACTCGCCACGCAAATGAGCTCTGCGCCTCCACGCAGACAGGTACATTGTGGGCCTTATGTCCAGCATCAACCTCGGGAAGCGGTGCATCATGCTGGCCGTGGTCGGGGAAACGGAGCACGACAGGCTCGGGCCTCGGGTGGGGCTCGCGGCTCGCTGTGGCTAGTGCTCCGGTCACGATTCTGAACTTGAAATCATGGCGCCAGCCAAGAGCAGGTTTCCCAAAGCTAATGGCTTGGGATCCGATCCAGCCGATCCAGCTACAGAGACAAACAAAGCATTTGGAAACGTTCGAGTCGACGCCAGCTGCATGCAGCAGCCGCAGCTGTTTCGTCATGCCAGTCTTTCGCAGGATAGTGTCGAAGACTGCCGGATAATGCTGTTGGAGCCACGGATCCTAACTTTAGCTGCAGCTTCAGGGACCGAATTTTGCGAATCCCAGATCCGAACTTCAGCAGAGCGCGGCAAACCAAGCATTCGGAGCTGACACACTGCTCTACTGGCTGATCTTCCAAAGCTTTGCGCCAGGAAGGGCGTCCTGGGTGGTGACTCAGCTCTGACATACGCAGGCGGGAGAGTTGCATCCCTGCGCGGGTGGCAACAAGATGGATACAGGCATGTAAGAGATAGTGACATCCACGGGCGGTCGCTGCTGAACACGCAGCCCGACAGGCGGCGTGGGCAGTAGGGCAGTGGCGGTAGTAGCGGTTAGTAATAGAGGTCGTAGTTGCAGTAGGCATGGTCATCGGCATTGTGATCGTCGAGGACCAGTGTAGGTACTGATTCCATTATCTACCTGTGGCAGGGAAACAGCATGCTGCAGCCCTCGCCAGATGCTCGACTTCAGCTTGAGGCTTTGGTAGGCTTCTGTTGCGCCACGCCGCATATGTAGAACTAGACACTGTTATTGAGGCTCATGCCGGCAACGAGTTTCCCCGGATAGGTCAGCATCGTGGTGGCTGTGTAGCTGCCGAGATAAGGATTCGTTTCCGAGCGAGAAGAGGCTGCGGGCAAGCCCATGCTTGCCCTTCGGACAAAGAACACTGGACCTTGGATTATTTGCAAACATACGGCTGGGCCCAGGCAGCCATAATGTTAAGGTTGCTTGTGTTGAGCCTGAAGCCTCTACTGGCTTCCTTGTTTCGCAAGCCACCCAGGTAATGTGTGGCACGCTGACCAGACACCTGCAAACCGTCGAAGCTCTCAAGGTCGCGCTTGGCTGCCATCTCAGGTTCGGAGCGATCGGGACGTAGGGACTGCCAGGCAGTACGCCCCAACTGTGGGCAAAAGCCGCGGAAAGTGGATGCCTCAAGGATTCTGGAAGGCGAGTCGAAGCGGAGGGGTTTCTTTCTGCATTTCTTGCTGCTTAGGTCTTGAAGCTGCAGCGGCTCAACGAGCTTTGTGCTGGTGATCTGGACAGCCTCTCCTACGAGGAGTTCAAAGAATTCTATCCGGAGGCCCGTTTGATTCTCGGGTGAACCCGCACGGCCCCCACCGTGGCGCTTTCCTGGGTTCTGCAGGAATTTTCAGCCCGTCAGCGAGACAAGCTCAACTACCGCTATCCGGGTGTCGGTGGCGAGAGTTACCAGGTCGGGTGTGCACATATAGCAGCATTGCAAGGATCATTCGCTGCGACTTTTCCCGGATTCCCTGGATTAAATCTTCAACAAGCCGCTGCTGGGAGGATGTCCTCTTCCGACTTTCTTTCCTGGTCTTGCGGCTGGAACAGATTATTGGCAATGTTCTCATTGTTTGCGACAAGGCGGGGTGTTTCTGTGTCTTCCCTAACATCCTGGCATTTGCACCTCCGTTGTTCACATCAGACCAGGCAGTGTGCCGGGTTCTTCTTGCATACTATCGTGCCTTGGCTTTGTTACAAGTAGCACACGACGGACGTGAATTGAAGCTGCCAGTGGCAAACATGATCATTTTGGGCCTAAACCAACTGACCCAGGTGGTGTGAAGAATGAGGACCTGCCGTATCTGGACGTGAGACCAGGAGTGAGCCTTGCCTATCAGGCCTATTACAAGCGCAGGGAGGTCTGTCTGCATGTCATGTCTGCATCTATATGTGGAGTACAAGCCACGCCCCTCGCTCAGGATGACTTTTGAACGATCGCACATCGGCTTCACGGAGGAGCCAGGGTTGTACTGCATGTTTTTGCCTGTGATGTGTCACGAAAGCTAGCTCTTCAGCAGCTTGCGGGAGTTGTCGGTAAGAAGGTCTAGCAAGACATTCTAGGGCCTTTCGGTCTGATAAAACGAGAGTTGAAGGCATCTAGCGAGGGCAGGGGTAGCCCTTTGCGGGCCGATCTTTCAGGCAGAAGGCCACCCCTCCCCGAAAGGTTCTGGAAAGGTTGAGATGCCCCGCTCTTATTGCTACTGCTGCTGCTTGTAGCCGGCACTGGCACTAACTTGCAATACTGCTAAGCATGTGGAGGCCAAGGGAGGAGACCTCCGTAGAGCGCCTCCACATAGCGCCGGAGCCGCTAAGCCCTAGTCCCACGAGCTTTCGTGGCCCCCCTCAAATTGGATTCGAAAGAAAACGTGAGGACTACGTGCACAAGATGGGGATGAGCCCAGCAATCTCAAAATCGTGCGCTGAGCTCCAGTCCATGGCTGGAGCCAAGTAGGTTTCTTCCCCACTGCTGAACCAGCCTGAGTATCATCCAGGTCTGCTCAATCTTACATCTCTTCTGCTGAACCGGAGACCCCGCATGCACAACCAGATGTGCATCTTTTGCGGTGATTCCGAGCTCCCGTCTTAGCGGCGATGCAGCACCGCGCTGGTGCTTGTGGCCGCAAAAGGCGTCCCGCGACGCTTTCTGAAATATTCTGGATTGGCCTGAGCTGCAGTGCAGCAGCTCAGTGCAATCCCCTTTACATAGTTGCAGAGCTTTTGAACACGAGCCGTGAGCGCGTCACCTTGGGGGTATGAGGGCATGTATGAACACCGCACCTGGCTTATGGCAGCTGTTCAGAAGCTCGGGCGCGTCAGTCTTGGCTTTTCTAGTAGCTGCACGCTGCCTTTGCTTCAGCGGTGGATACGCATACCACAGCGACCGAAAGGAATGCTCTTATGTGTTTTTGTTTCGTTGGCATTGGTACTTCCGCAGTTTGAGGAAGTATGGCAGCCGATAGTTGTACCTTGCCTGAGGTGTGGCCATGCCGTTCGCGCTCCGCAGGCCCCCTGCCCAGGCAAGCGTGCTCTCGGTGTCGCAGTTGCAATCCGCCAAGGCTATTCTCAGGGCCAGAGTGCAGAGGCGCGGAGCCGTGGTGATGTCCGTGGCAGCTCTGAGGTGACCCAAACCGGCTGGGACTGTATTGACAAGCAGATGCATCGCAGGATGCTCCTTTTGGTCGGAATTGGGCAGCAGAAGTTCTGCAGCCCCTGCCCCAGTTATGCACGCTGGGATTCGGTGTAGTCAGTTGAAGCCTGCCGGCTGAGCTGTCCTGGTTTCAAGATCTCTTTGTAGCTCTGCCTTCTTTTGCACAGCGGTCCGCAGTTTCTAGGATTCGAATTGCAAGTCAGGCCTCCCCGACCACGAAGGCCTGCAGCTGAGAAAGCAGATGGCAGTGCGAGATTCGGCAGTACGACACACTCCTCCTTGCGGGAGTGTGCAGAAAAGTCCCCGATGCCTCCACAGAAGTAATTCTGCAAAAGCTCTTATGCGGGCGGGTTGGGTGTCGGTTCGGGAAACAACGTCGTCCCAAGCCTCATGCGACAACTGGTAGGTCAGCTGATGATCGCATACCTTACTCATTGGATGGTGAAGTCTCAGTTGGGCTTGGCCAGTGACAGGGTTTTTTAAACTCCAAGTTTGTAATCTTTTTGATCTTTTTAAGCGCTACAAGTAGCTTAGTAGCTACCCTAAACCCGGAACCCTAAACCGTTGCTGTTCCATTCGCAGGCCGCGCAACACCGGGGCGCTTCCCAACAGGCTTGGAGCCCAACTTCCAGAACCCGTTTCTACACCAACATAAACTGCTGAAGCCTGGCAATACTTCCCTAAAAATAGCTAGATAGATAGATAGATAAAATGGATACATGGATTGTTGGGTTTGCAGGTAGATAGCTACATTGCCTTATATACATCCACTCTTCCCGAAGCTGGGTCCTGCGAGGCTGCTGGGAGCTTTGGCCTTGCTGAGAGATCCAGCAGAATTAGATGGCGAAGGAGCTGATATAACAGTATATTATAATATAATCTTGTATGTGGCGCCTGCTCTGATGTGTTAACTTCGCCCAATGGAGTTAGACGCTTGTTAAGGCTTGTGGAGTGTACATCGAGTCGAGTTGAGGCATTTCCCCCAAGGCCCTTCCCGGGGCACTTGGTCACACCGCGACAGTTTAGGTTTGACCTCGCTCAAAATGTCTCAGTGCCGCTCAGTCTCCAGTTTTTTCGATTGGCAGTTGAGCAGTGACGTGCCTCTCGGTCATGTTTGCACCGATGCTCTGGCAAAAGAGATTTAGTTGCACAGCACATTGACAGCCTCGGCCGGCAGACCCGTCCCATGTGAGATGAACTTGACACATGATCTCGCATGCGTCAGCGCTAGCATCTCTGATTGCAGTGGGGCAGGACTTGGACGTGCCGCCACAGCGGCAGCAAGCCCGGGCCACGGGTTGTGTCGGCCAAGCGCCCCGCGGGCGCTATGGCCAACTGTTGTCTTGCCTCAGCACGGGGTTCGCTTTGAATCGTGTATCAGAAACTGCTTCCATCCGTCACACAACCTGTGTCTGAGAGGGTGGGGATAAGCAATCTTAAGTATTGGCGGTTAGCATGCCGAGGAGAGGGCCTCGACGACGAGGCATGGTGGGCTGCGCTGACGAAGCGAACGAAGGATTGGCTTTACAGACTTGAGGGCATCAGTATAGCGAAACATTCGTGTGGCATTTGGCGACCAGCTGACCCGCTGCAGGAGCTGTCCGATTCGTTGGCAATGCATGATGTGTCCCTGATCCTGAACGGCATGGCGAGATCCAGGCCTTCTACCCTGAAGCCGAAAATGCAGAGACGCTGTCCAGCGAAAGGCGCCTGGATAAGCAGCTGGCAGGGGGCCCGACTTTGTCCTGGCGCCCTCATGTTTTCATAGAATACCCTTGACGACTCGCCTTGTGACGTCGCCTGGAAGTTGTGACCATGCCTGACTCCAAAGGTTCAGGCATTGCTTCCGCGAATTTGTGCAAACTTGGTCCCTCCGGCATGTGTTTTCCGAGCGAAAGTTTGAACCGCAGTACTGCGCTTCAGGGCCTGGCGACGCAATCCGGTTTGGACCCGTGCAGAGAGAAGGCATTGATCCCCAGGTCTGCAGGAAAATCCTACATCCCCCAGCCCAAAACCGCAAATGATCACCGGAAGTGGAAGCCAGGTATATCTCACCTCCGCACATCTGGCCATGCTTGCGAGTTCAGTGGCCAAGGCGTATGGCCTGATGGGACTCCGAGGATAAGGGATGACAAGGGCACCATGAAGATAGATTAGAGAGCAGTGTACTACGCTGCTATGCCCTCTTATCTTATTGACGGGTTTCTCTGAGACCGCCTACGCCTCAAACGTCTCGAACGCCAGTGGGAGTCGTCGGACTGTGCACGTGGCACATCAAGGCGGTGTGCAGTGGGCAGTGAACGCAAGGTGGCGCCGGTCCTGTCAAAGGCATCAGGGCTTCATGGCCACGGTTTCCCTGAGGGCCCGTGCTAAGCAAACCCTTGCGCCGGGCCGAATGCGGGTGCTATCATCGCCATGGTTTTTCCGACGGACGAACGGGACGAATCACCTGTATCGACTAGCGTCTTACGCCTGCGATGTCAGTGGCACAAGCGGGCAGATAGCCGGGTTGAGTCGTGAGGCAGGAGGCCATTGCGGAAACCTTGAGGCCCGAGGCCATTGAGGGGGATCTGCCGCGGCTCACGATTTGAGCAGGGACAGACTGGCGCTGTCGACTGATAGACAACAGTAACAAACATCTGGGCGCATGCACTTGAGCTTAAGTGATAAAGAGTTTGTTCAAGGGGCGGGGAGGACCTCGTCTCGTGCTCCCGACATTGCCACAGTCGAAAGCCGCTGTAGCTTGATGCTCACTGCAGGCTGAGATACACAACGCACAGTTTACCAACCTCCTGACGCGTGAGTTGAAGGCACAGCACGGGGGAAGCATGAACTGTGGAATTGTGTTGACATCTGCGCAAAGATGCGCAAAGCTAGAAGGCGGTTGACACGGTGTTCAAACTGCAGCTGTTGCCGTACCTTGCCGATGGTTTCAAGCTTGCCAAAAACGATAGCCAGGATGCTCCATAGATCGGGGTAAAAGCTGACTGGTGTCCTTGACCAAACCTACGAGAAGCGATGTCGTAGAGTCAGCGTAGCTGAGTGGGAAACTCGATCCCTCGGCATGTGGAGCACCCGGGTCCACAACGCGACCCTAAACCGGCCTAGCAGTCCAGACCAGAACCTGACTAGAAGCGGCAGCGTGGAGAAGTGTTTCAGCCGTGCGCCGTGAGCCATGCAGCTCTACCTCTTTTTGCTGCTGAGACAATGGGCACGGGCCTCGGAGAGGCACCGATCTCTATATCACAGTCTCAGGGCCGTACGAGTGGGTCTCGGATAATCCCTTCACCGAAGGTTATCCTGACTGCAGGTGTCCGAAAACAGTTACAGGTTACAGGTGGCTGCAGATGCAAGGTGTTGCATCCTTCTTGTCATTCTTCTCGTTGCTGTTTGTGTATCTTCGTGTTCATGCAGCGATCGTGTCACTCTAGCCGATATTATGGGGACGGACGGTCTCCGGCCCTCCGGGTAAGCAACCCCGAACGACTTGGTCAGAAGTTGCAAACCAGGTGCGAACTGTCATGAAGTTCTTGAATGCCAGCGACCACATCGCTGGGACCGTTGCTATCTCCGCAGCCTGCTTGCGGTCGAGACAGCCTGCGCAAGCCTGTCTGCGATGTATCTTCGTTGTGGCTTCGTTTTGGCGTGCCGTAGCTGCTACGAGTGCTTGTGGCTCGCGTCAGGCAGTGGGAATTGCACGAGATGCTTCCTCGAAAATGTTTCAATCGTTTTGCTGCTTGGCATGCAAACTGGAGGGACGGGTGTTCGGGTTTGGGACGCACTCTGCCAGCTTGCACTGCTGGCCTAGGCAGGTGCTGCGGAGCAGCTCACTGATTCATGCAGTGCTCGTGCAACTTCTGTAGACAACGGCACCACAGTGGATCTGGCGGTTGCGGTATAGTGGTAATTTACCTTCGGTAAATGTCACAGGGTGCTCGCTGCCTGGTGCAAGTCGCGCATTGGAGTAGATAGGCAAAAGGGCGACTCGTCAGGCAGAGTCTTGAAGGACAGCTACCACCATGCTGTTGCACCAGGATTTTCCCCAGGTCTTTTGTGCTGCACGGTGTTGTGCTCTTGCTGAAGTGCCTGCCAGTGCTTTGCTGGCCAACGACCTTACAGTTTTGAAGCTACGGTATGTGAGCCTGTGCTCAAGAAGTCAAGAAGCAGGTGATTGGGCAGTCCGTCGACTCTGGATGACAGTGCGACTGAATGAGAAGGCCAGGCAAGTGTGAAGCTTGCTTGGCGGTTTACTTGTTGTGTTTTGCCGTATCAGCTTCTGTTGCATCCCACAGAACCTCACCCTGACAGCCACGTTCGTTTCAGATGTCCATCGTCCCACCCCCAGTATTCTCAGACAGCTCAAAATCCACTGCAGACGAAAGGAGGCTGACCTTGTCCTTGCCTGGCTGCGAGAGCAGCCGGCCATCCACGATGCCTCGGAGCTATGGCTCTACGGCCAGCGCTCGGAGGGCAAAGCCACCCGCAGCTTGGTCTCTAACGGAGGAACTGACATACACGCTCTTCAGACGGTGATGTCAGGCTGCTGTTTTGCCTCCTCTGCGTGGCATTGTTTTCTTTTCTGAGGCTATGAGTACGAGCCGGAAATAAAGGTAACATCCCGGCTACGGCACGGACCTTAAGTGGGCGATGCGCAACCATCTTCGACAAGGATCAGAACTTGCAAACCAAGGTGCCAAAGACCAGATGGATCCAGTCAGTGGGTGTGCCTCGGATGCTGAATCGGTCGAGTTGCCGTGCAGGGACATCTTAAGTCAAGATGAGCCTAAAGCCAGGAAGCAGGAGGAACCGAAATCCATCAATGTCAGTTGATTCCAGCGCAAGACTTGGGCTGTGATGAGGTGGATCACACGCGAGAGCCGCGAGGTGCAGTTCCGCTAAGTACTGACTGGGAGCCTGGTTGAAGACGGCAACGAGCACCAACCAAAGAGCCTCTGAGTAGACTCACATGGCCCCTCTGACTCGGCATATGCCCTCCGACTTGCAAATAGTCTGAGAGCCGCCAGGGCTCTGGCGGAAATCGTGCCACCGTCTCCATCATTGGTCGAGACAAGGCTCGGTACCGAGAAGTTTCAGACACAAAGTGCCGGAAGCGAATGTTGCTACTCAGTATCGGTGTTGACAAGAATTTTGTGCACTTCGATGCGCGAGCGACCATCAGAAGCAAGGCGGCCGTGCGCATGACATCTGTTGACCAGGTGTCTTTCACTTAGTTTGGCCCCCAGGTCGACTCCGACACACCAATCTTAGTCTGGGCCATTGAGAATCCGAAATGAGACAGAGCCTGGACCCTTTCCCCTTCGACGTTCAGCTCCCGAAAAGTGGTCCGACTATGAGCATTGGCGAGCTTACTGGTGATCGGCGTTTTAGCCGCATGCCGAGGCATGTGACATGAGCTGAGGTGGTCTTGGAGAACATGCTGGAAGAAGGCCGTGAGATTCAGCGGCGCAAGCGGGAGACACCAAGCTTGAAGTGCGTCCGTAACAACCGTTTTGTGATGATTACGATATTCAGTGGGTGTGGAACCATGTGGTGTCGGAAGCTGTAGCGGCTTGTGAGCTGTGTTGACGAGCTTTTTTCTGCCGTTGAGCCCGGTCGGTCGGCCGTCAATAGTTCGCTTTTCGCCAAGGAAATTTCTGACGGTTGTGCAAGTCTACGACTTCGGAAAGGAGCATGGCCTCAACTGGCTGCACCCGCAGGAGACGCAGTGGGTAATGCAATATGCGACCGCAAAAACACACAGTGTTGTTGGTCTTGTTGAGTGAAAGTACCACACTACAGAAGACAGGACAAGGACCGAAAGCAGCCCGGTCGGTCGATCTCCTCCGTTGTGTTGCTCGGCTTTGGAGGTGTGGCGCTGGCTCCATGTGTATCTTCAGTTCTGGAGGAGGTAGGCGGGTGGCATCGTCCTTGAGTTGAACCAGCTAGTGCCTTCAGCCTTTCCGCCGGAAGGCTGTCGAAGTTTCAAACCAAATGTAGAGTAAGTGTTCGGAGCCTCGTTGACATAAGGTTGCCTCGCTGCGTTGCTGGAAGCACGGGCATCGACCAAGCAGAGGCTCCGGACCAGCGGGGTCTAAAGATCCTGGACCTTAAAACCCTAAACCCTCAAACCTAAACCTTAAAAAATCCCGCAAAATTGACGGACCCTCGCAGGCCCTTCTTGAAGATGCCCGGGAGTTTCTCAACTCGGAAACCTGGTATACAGAACGTGGCATACCTTATCGAAGAGGCTATCTGCTCTACGGAGTTCCAGGCGGAGGATCCTCGACTGCACGAGATACGGCTGATGGACAGAATCCTGCATGACCTTATATACCTAAACCATGGGAGTTATGGTGCTATACTCTATTTGGGTCATGCAGAATTTTGTCCATCAACAGTAGGAGCATGTTTCTGGCCAAGGTGGCTAAATCTCGTTCTCAGTCGGACCGGGACAGTCCTTTCTTTAGGGAGCATTACGGCAGGTCTCAGATACGGCGCTTCGTTCCGGGAAACATGCAGGGTCAATTGCATGTAGGGTCAAACACTGAACAACTAGATTGCCCTCGAACAGCTGTGGCTTGCTTTGGCAGAAGTTTCCGCGGTTCACTCCACTGTTCTGCAGCTTCTTCAGCAGTTGCCTGTGCTGTGTGCCGATGTGTCGACGGCCCATGCTTCTCTTGTCATTCAAAACTCAGCGCAGCTTCCAGCAGTCGGTCAAGACATGAGGCACGAGCCCCCTCCCTGAAGCTGTTCCCTTAGTGCGTTCTCAGTCCCAGGCAAAAGCTCCCTGATCATGGCTGTCGCCTCCGAACTGCGCCTGCCTATCTATATGATGAGTCTCCTGACCTACGAAATCGGTCAAAAGCAAGTTGAGCCAGAAGTCTGCTATGACGGGTCACAGCGACAGACAGATGGGCGTAGCACAATCAATGTTACAAACTCTCGTGCTGTTGCTCGACGAACTGTAAGAGTGTGGAGCAGATAGGAGCTGAAGGTGTGGGCGTGCAGTGCCCGAGTCGGACCTTCATCTCCCGTCAAATCTAGCGGCCTGAGGCTTCTCTTCCGAGCGGATGAACGACGAAGTGCTGAGCTCGCTACTGCCACTCGGGATCTTTTAGGGCTTTCGGAGAAGATCCAATCAAGGGCTGCGCAGTTTGAGGGGAGTTGGAGAAGGTAAGATCAACTTGCGTCATTACCATCTCCCCAACCATAAACTGAACACACTAAACCCTGAACGCGGAGACACTATGCTTGCCAACGGATCTGTCGCGACCTGGGGTGACCCGGAAGATGGTGGAGACAGCAGTGCTGTGCAGGATCACCTGAGGGATTTGCTGCCTACATCGCCGAAAGTAGGCTGTCTGTAGAACCCTAAACCCTAAACTCTATACGCCATATAGGTGCTTAAGACCCTTTGGGTAACTAGGTTCGCTTGATTTCGCTTGGCTTAGGATGATAGCTGGCGCGGCCTCGGGATGTTGCTAAACTTTGCCCAGGCAGTACGGCATGCACGATCCACCGACCATCCTCCTACTGGAGGACGTGGGTAAGCTGTTGAAATGCCACGTTGTTCGTCTCTTGCAAGTAGGGAGCAATGTAGCAGTTTAGCATTACTTGCGGGCATGTGTGGGCATGCCTTGCATGGTGTTGAGAATGTCCATGGAGGACGTAGACCTGTTGCACTCAGCTGTGCTCAATCGCAGCTTGGCAATGTCAGCGCAAGTCAAAACGTGGGTAGACGTGCTTGAGACGAGACGGGCAGGCCATCGACAGTTGCAAGACACTGCTGGCGATTCCAGCCCAGCCGACAGGGACTGACAGTCATCCGCGACAGTTTGCCTTTGCTGGTTCTGTTGTGCCAGTTTCATACGCTTGGATGCAGCGGAGTTCAGTGCAGACTGGCTTTGTGCTTGGGTTCCTGCAGGACAAAGACAGTTCAGACAAGAGCTACGAAAAAAGCCGTCGAGGCAGGCTTTGCTTAGCTTTCAAGCTTGTTTAATGCAGCCAGCGCTCAGGACGCCTCACCCTCTCCGGGCTCCTGAATGCGCTGGACATCCCGACAAGTAGTGCGGCAGTGTGCAGTCTAGCAGTCATTAGCAGTCTAGCACTTCCACCTGCTCCTCGCAGTAGCCTGCAGGATGGTCCCACGGCCACCACCGGAAGACTTCTCTTCATGACGACGAATGATCGAGGCTTGGAATCTACAAGGAGTCACGAAAGCTCAGAACCCCGCAACCGCTTCTGCAAGATGCTCTTGATCCTGCCCTCTTGCGGAGCGGCCGCATTGATTACGAGACTCGGCAAGACAGGGCTAGCATCCGATGTTCATTTTCTGTTGCACCGGATGCTGTCGGCCTATGCATCGGCTGTCTAGGCCTCTAGGCTCATGGTTCTTAGTTCTCACTTCCAGGAGTTGGAGTTCAAGGCGGCAGTGCCAGACCAGATCCAACGTCTCTTCACTCGGAGCCCTGGCGGCAGATCTGAGCAGATCTGAGCTGAACGTGACTTCACTTGGAACTGCGGGCCCACAGGGCACCGGCCAAGGTTCTATGCCGACTTCGGAGGTTCCACCTCTGCCTTGCTGCTCACCTGCATACTTCTCATAGCCGCTTGCGGGATGGAGATTGGCCTCAGGTCATCGGAGGGTGGCAAGGCAATGCCCGATGAAGGTGCCGAAGTTTGCCGGAGGGCATGAGAGCTTGCCGGGCGGGGATGCTGACACAAGCTGTCACCTGCGGTTGCAGGCGATGCCACGCTCACGAAGCTTTCCACTGAGGACGGAAGGGCAAGGGCGGGGGCCATTGGAGGGAGAAAAAGAGCGAGTTGAGATAACGAAGGCAAAGAGCAGCCAAGTAGTGTCAGGTACTCCATGCTGTATTCGCTGTCCTGTGTAGGTTCACGAAAGGCTGTTTTCTGTTCGGGGAGATCGTGCGACAGTATGGAGGCAGCATTCATGTAAGGAGGCCGAGAGCAGACGCAGCACAAGGGAAGTGTTAAGTGTTAAGCGAAGACCAGGAGCATGTGAAACGTGGAGCCAGTGTTGGAAACCCTAGATTCAAGACGATCCGCCACGAGGGTCAAAGCCTGGCAGAGGGACAAAGAGGAAAGACGCCGAGAAGGCTTTCCAAGCATGGTGTCCAGATGTTGTAGGACGAAACACAGCGAAAGCTGACCTGCCTTGAACAAGTTGTTCTTCTTGCACACGCGCAGTCAGAGAGGAGCTAGCCGAGCTCTTCGTGAAGAAGCTTGATGCCTCCGGCAAGAAGCTAACTACTGCGGACATTCAGCGGTTACCTTGCAGCATTGGGCACTAGTATTTGATTTTGTTGCCCTGTGGACTTTCGCTTGCGGCCCTGCTGAAACTCATGTCGAGGCATCTCATGAAGCGCAAGAAGAGCCCCAGAAGGGCTGTTGAGGAGGCCGTGACGGCCATGGTGCAAAAATTCGGATGAGCTTCAATCACGCACCTGGTTCATGCTTCAGGTGCAGGAACTGCTGCAGCCTCAGTCATGGATCAGTCATACCTTGTGCTCGCCTTCCTCTCGTCTGGTGTTGTCATGCAGAGCACAGGTGTAGACGGACGCAGACAGAGGAAGAGGGAGAGAGCTGCGGACACGCACTCCGCCGCTCTTGTCACGTCCTGTAGAGAGAGGGAGAGAGAGAGAGAGCGAGTTGGGGATGGACTGTGTCGCCTTTGGTACGTGGAGCGGAAACCCAGTCCGTGTAGTCTTCACACCCCCGCCCAAGTGCCCCACAAACATAGGGGGGCCCAAGTGGCCAGGGGGCTTGACAAGCTCCTTAAACCCGGTGGAAGAAGAGCGAGAGACTGGTATGTTACCTTTTATGTTGGCTGGTTTCAGAGCTGCTGCCGGGCATTGCCGGGCAAAATCGCCAGCTGAAGCCGCATAAACAAGACTGAAACCGGCTCTGTCTGAGTGGTGAAAGAAAAAGACAGGCGTGGACGCAGGCAGGCAGAGTCACGTCCGCAATCGTCCGCCTCTTTTTGCACTTCAGTTGCCTGTGGCTAGTTCTACACTACACCCATTACACTGTACAAAGTACAACACAATGACGCTCATACCGTGTGCTTGAGCAAATGGGCAACAGGCTTGATACCTTCTCTACGAGGGATGACTCGCAGGCTCTGATGATGCTAGGTGGGAAGCCGTGTTGCTACACTGGGTTTCGTAACCAGGCGCCGCAGAAAGACACTACGGGCTCCGCGAAGTGAGATGTTTCTTTTGACATGCAGGTCATGTCGAGAACTGCCTTGATGCAATGAGTCAAAGGCGCTGACATGACCTCATCGGTGTTAATGGGGTGGTGTTCCAAAACGGACGGCCTCCCATACCTCAGATCCTTTGGCGGGGCTTCAAGCCCCGTGCCTGTACATAGAAGATCTCAAAGCTGGAATGGAGAAGGAACGTGTGCAAGAATTGAGCAGGCACAATGCGCAGTGTTGTTTCCGCTCCGTTTCTGTGGAAGAAGATCTGTTGTGCGCAATCGGTGCCACCTAGCTTCGACAAAAAGTGCAGAGCTCGTGCGGCAGCGAATCTCTGCCGCTTCTACACAGAACCTCCAATACACCGAGACAGGAAGTTCTGCACTTCGTTCTGTCCTGCACTGGGTCCTGCTGAGTGTGTTAGCTTCCGTCCTGTAGTGCAAACGCAGAGACCCTCACCTTCGCCGGTTCGGCTAAGCGCAAGAACGACCTGTCTCCGATCTTTGCCCTACGTCGCTAGGTTCATGCGACCAAGATGCTGTTTTAGACTAGCAGACGCTCGTCAAAGCATAGCGGCTTTAGTCGTGGTTTGCTCGGCTTCGTAAGCGCCTTTTTTGCCATGCCTCCATTCCATCAGGACCTTTATGTTTGAGCGGATGGCTTGGGATGCAGCTTGAGATTACTGTTAAACAGGCCGTCGGCCTGAAGCACGACGGCCGGCATTGTGTGGAGTTCTTACTGGATAACCATGCTCCCCAGCGCACCCGCTGGGTAGATGACCTGTACGACACACAGGGGCTCGTGGTTCAGCCCAAGAACTTCCAGTCCAGCAGATGCACTATCACCCTGAAGGCTGACAAGAGCGCCTACAAGGACAGCTTTCTGCATCTGACTCTCTTTCACCAGAGGAACATCCGGGACGACAAGCGTGCCGCTGAAGCTCACTTGCCTTTTTCTGGCATGGCTAATGGATTCAAGGGCTGGGTGAGTCTCGAGCATAAGGACAAGTATGGAGGGAAGCTATTTCTAGAGGCAAACCTCAAGGAGCCCGCTCCTGCACCTGCTCCTCCCCGACCAAAAGCCGCGGCACCTGTTCTGGACGATTCAGAGCTTGCAGAGCAGCAGGCCATCTTGGCAAGCATCCAAGCCAGCCAGAGACGCTCACAAACTGGCCAAGCTCTGCCTGCGCGGCAGAGCAGCCAGAATAGCATACAGAGCCAGAGTCAGAGTCCATCGGCTTCACCAGCATGGCCATGGCCGGACAGCACGAGCACCTCGCAGGCCGCGCGGCCTCCATCTTGGCCGGACTGGCCTGGCACTGCTTCAGCCGCTTTGCCTCCCAGCACCCGGGCCTGCAGAGAAGAAGAGAGTAAGTTGTGTGTACGTAGCTTGCAGATCTTTGGGGTAAAGTCGAAGTCGTCGGGTGCAGCCTGATTTTCAAGATGCACAGGTACACCCTCCGTGCGGGAGCCAGTCGAAGCGGATCCGGTCCTGCCCGACTGGCTGCCGTGGCCTCGCTTCAAGGCCGCCTTGCAGGCCGGAATGCGAGAAGCCCTCAGCCTCAGCTTGGAGCCTCCTCGTGCTTCCTCAAGCGAGCCGAAGGCAACCGGAAGGCGCAAGGCTCTGCTGATCGGACTCAATTATCCAGGCACTTCGGCTCAGCTACGAAACGGCATCAACGACGTTGAGAGGGTCGCAGCTGTGCTCGGAAGATTGGGATTTCCAGAAGAATGGATGTTAAAACTAACGGACGATGCCCCGCGCCGCAGGGCACCGGACGTCGCCCCGACAAAGAGCAACTGCATCGCTGCCATGCAGTGGTTGACCCACAACGCTGTACCGGGCGATGTCTTGTTCTTCCACTTCAGTGGCCATGCGACGCAGGACGATGCAGAAGGAAGCGATGCACTTTGCCCATCCGACTTTATGGATGCTGGCTTTATATCGTCCGAGAAGGTTCACGAGACCTTGATGCGGGGTCTGCCAGCCCATGTCAGATTGACGATGCTCTTGGACTGCTGCATCCCATGTCTATGTCCAGAGTTGCCGCTGCTCTACGATGTGGAGCAGGACCGATGGGTTGTCGGCGGCTCTGCATCCTCCAGTGCTGATGTGGTATGTTTTTCAGCAGCCGGCTCAGACATGACTCCGGAACAGCTAAATCAGCTCCGCATGGCAGAGCATGGCTTCGTTACAAGTGCATTTCTCCAAGCCATGCAGCAGTTAGCACAACAAAGGAAGGGGCCGGTGACGTACCAAGAGTTGGTCTCAGAAGCCAGCCAGCACCTCCGACCCTTCGCACATAGAGCCCTGCAGCTGTCTGTGACGCAGATGTTCGATCCAAACGTTCGGACGTTCCGCTTCTTCGATGCGATCAAGAGCAAAGTGCGCTAGATTTGCTTGGTAGTGGTAGCAGGCTTGTATGATAATTGCGAAGTGTTTCACCGCAGCGCACTATGTGCCACATCGACGCAAGAAGGATGGTGAGTGTAAGGGACTGCCAAAGGCATGGATCACGTGTTTCTCGCAGGTAGAGCCTGTGAGGCCATGGTCATCACCACTTTGTGCAGTTTGCACTCGTTGCAGGCACGGCTGATGGAGTTTCACAGCTCCATGGAGTTGACGATGATCATCAACGCCGCACCCTCTGTCATCCAAACTTGCACCTGTGGGTTCGCAAAGCATCTGTGCACCGAGCAAGAGAACATGAAATGTGGCTTCTTCTCGATTAGCACATGGCCTGCGGTGCGCTTTTTCAAGGCTGTGAGCAAGCTTCGCATCACCGACGAGGACAGCCTGTGTATGGTCTTGCATCATGTGGTTAGAGGTGTGTGTTCAAAACTCCTACATGTACCCTCTCCTTCGCGTAGCTCTATCAACCGCCAACCGCCCTCGGGAATTGTGCAGCATGCCTGGAATGGACCATGCACAGAAAAGGGGTTTTTCCTCCCGGCCGACTGGAAACGAATGTTTTGAGGATTTGTTCCGACGATTTGCTTTGCCGGCATGTTTACTAGGGCACTGGCTGTGGCTGGAAGTCGAAGAAGTGAGCGGCAAGATCACGTACGCAGGTGAGCCACACGCAGAGCCGTTCGCATCCTAGGTCTCAGTTTTGTGCAGCAATCCTGCACCAACCAGACAGGGTCAACCCTGTTCTTTGGAACGAGCCCCACGTACAACATGGTTCTGTGATTAGTCAGGCCTCATTTCTTGCAACTGCTGCCTGGGGGGCCTTCCTTTAGCGCATGTTGCCAATACTATACTCAGGCATGGGCACAGAGGCTTTCCACGTGCGCGACATTTCCGTACGAACCCTGGATGCTGACAAAGCATCAGTTCCCTGAAGTCTGAACCCAGCTACTGGGTCACATCAGTGATGCTGCTGAGGTAATTGTTGGAGCGCTGGCACGCGTGAACTGCTGCATCCTCAGCGCAAAACTCCCGAGACCACAGCACTTTGCACGACCTGGCCCTTGCTTCTGTAGCTTCAATCCGAGGCCTTCTAATTCTGATATATGCCGGGCAAGAGGGCTTGAAATTTGAATACGGAATACCCGTTTGTTTCGTGTTATGATGCAGTGTGTGACGGTGCATATCATATCATTGGCTAGTGGTTGCGTGCAGCACCCGAAGCAGATGCTGGATTGAGTTGCTGACATTTGAAGGTGTTGATGCGACCACCATGAGCCGGTTTGCGGACGGCTGTGTGCAAACTCTTCCTCAGGCCAGACTGTCGCAACATATCGATTTGCGTCACAAGACTCGCCATCCCTGCCAGGCGACGCCTTTGGAGCTGGCTCGGCTCATGCATGCCTGCATGTCCTCTGCCTACCTTCCTTAGCTTACGTTTCCCAGACGACAGAGAGAAAGAGTGCTTTTGTTGCAGCAGGGTTGCAGCTTCGTCATCCAAGGAGCGTGTCCTGCCATGCGCCGGACTTGTTCACTGCCTGTGTGCTACAGAGTCGTGAGCAGGCACGCACTTGGGATCCCTTGATTCTGTCAGATACTGTACAGTATTCCAATTTTCTCTGTTGCCCTCGCGCAGAAGTGTACTTGTACGTAGTACTAGCAAGCCGGAAAATTAAAGGGATTGCAAGCATGTTGAAAGACGTGTCTAAAGCAGACGCAAGAGGGGTGCCTTTCGATCTAGAGTATCTACGTGTGCCTTCAAGCCTGCCGAATGATGTTCTACGATGTTCTTATCCACAAATGCGGGCCGTTGGGGGCAAGCCTCGCATAGCTGCACTGGCATGTATCGATTCGATACGTTCTATTGTTAAGCAGACCTCGGCATCGCAGAGAAGCCTTTTTGACGTTGGAAGTGCTCTCGACTGCTGTGTCTCGTATCAGAAAGATCGAAGCATGGCTGGTCGAGAGGCAGCTGTTTCTATCGTCAAGTACTTGAGCGGATGTGCCTTGAATCTGCTTGCATGGGAGACTGGAGTCTGAAGTCTGAAGCCAGGCAAGCAGCATGGACCCGAGCGGCCTGTCTGCTGCTGCATACGCCTTCGGCCAGTGCTTCGAGGCATGAAAACTGAGAAGCGTGGGTGAGGAGCTTTTCCGTCATTGCTGCGGAAGTTCGAAACCCGTAACAGTGCCAGACTCTAGTTCCCTGTGCCTTCACCAGCCGTGAAGGTGGCGGATGTGTCCCATGTCCGGTACCTGCAGAAAATCTTCAGACACCTCCGGCTGGTGCGCGTGGGGAGGGTCGCACTTCATTAGCGCATGCTTTATCCCGAGCAGCTTGCCGAAGCAAACTCAGAGTCCCTGCGCATCGGCTGTGTTGGTGCAGATGGGTGTCAAGTCAGGCTGCCGTCTCGAGTTTGCCGCTGTTCCTGCCCCGCGAGATTGCGGTCATCTCAACTTTCTGGCTTGGAGTCGGGTGGATCTGAACGACTGTTACCGCTGATGATGTGATGCAGCGGCTGGCCAAGGTGAGCTTGTTGAAAACCTATGCTCGATGGCAGATCACGTTCGAATGTGGCCACCTGCGCAAGGTGCTGCGACTTAATTTATGCAGCAGCATGTTTGAATGCGAATTTCAGGTGATTGTTGAAACCCAGATGGGAACAAGCATGTAATCCCGCCGCTAGCAGTTGTGTTTGCACATCAGGTGGCTGAAAGGATGATCGCCACCAGCTCCCAGTTCGACCTGGACAGCGCCGTCCCTGAGCTCAATGGAATTGTTTTGCAGAATGTTTGTGGCCATGCCATGCAACGTTGTTGATCTTCTTTGCTGGAAGAGCCGTTACGCGGTGAGAGAGGCTACTTCACCTAAGATTTGTCTCGCGAGCAGACATGCAGGTCTCAGGTTTGCACAACTTGGCGCTGCTGTCCTCCCCGGCTGGATTGCCATGCGCAAACTCTTCTTGATTGCGGAAGGCTGCAAGAGCTGCTGCGGTGTGCTCTTGTGGTTGTGATGTGCATGTTGGCTCGGGCTTTCCCAGAACCAGCACGACATGAATTGGCATGCTTGCATGATGCAGCGCACAAACGGGTCATGTACCTCCCCGTTGCACGTACACCGAAAGTAGTTCGAACCCACCAAAACTATCCCGAGACACTCGACAAGAAGACCATTCAGAAGACATTGGCAAGCAGCCATTTGTCAAGAATCGAAAAGCTAGCTGAAGCCAGGGACATGCGCGCTGGAGTCCAGTCGCATTCGGACACCCAGCACAGCTCTCTGCCCGCTGAATTCCGGGACATAGAAGCGTTTCCGTGCCAGGATGCAGCGCAATGCCATGCGCTCAGAGCGTACAGCCGCGCTTGGCGCGGCATGGGAGGCGTGTGCTGATGCACTCTGCGTAGGGTGATGATGTACAGCCGACATTTTCATGGATTTCGGTATCATATTAGGGAGTTTGGGCTTTAGGATCTCGGCGCCCCGTGAGTCTTCTTCAGTCCCCGCATCCCACACCAGCTGCCACACCTTCGAGGTGTCTGAGCTCTTCCACCTCCCACCGTAAGATCTGGGGCAGAAGATTATGCGATATAGGAGCGGCAGAAAGCAGGTGCTTGCAGAAGCGGCAAGAAACCTGCTGCTGCCTGCACGTGACCCAGTTCATGTTCACACTGTTCGCCAGGCATAGTCACCTGCTTCGATAGCAGAAGCGAGTTGGCATGTCCTATCGAATCTGCTGAATTGGTGCATCGGGAGAGAAGTGTCGCAGTTCTACCTAGCCGTGCCACCCAATGAGAGATCCGAAGAGCAACTGCATTCTACTATACTACACTCTACTGTACATGCAAGCACGGAGCACACGTTTCCTACACCTGTCCTTGTTGATTCCTATAGAGCAGGAGGGCTAACACAAGCTCCCGTCTCGCCGCAATGGGGCGGATGCCTAGGAGGCCAGGCCAGGCGCTGCTGTGCTCCGCCGCAACCTTCGGCGGCCTCGTTTTGCCCCTGGGATGCGATGGGTTAGTGATGGGTTCAGAGGACGGGAAGATGCCTCCGGCATAAGGTGTCATGTGTTTGCTAAAGATGACTGCTCACTGTTTGGCCTCGTTTCAATGGTCCAATGATCAGATTTCAGCCATGTTCGACGGATGTAATACTGCACAGCCCCAGGCTGTCCCGCAGCTGGGCCTTCGTGCGCCTTACCACGCGGCCCTTGATCCGCCAACAGGCCGATGTTGGCGCCATTCTCCGGCGCTTGCCGGAAAGGTGGACTGACGTCAGTCTTGAAGCATTCATACGCCTATGTCACGCCCAACTCATCACCCCTGAGCGCACGCAGGCGTGCACACAAACACACACACACACACACAGCTCGGCGTGACGAGAGGCTTCCTTTGCCCGTACACTCCTGCAGGTGGTCTGGCCGAAGAGTCACCCTGCATGCTACTGCCGAGGCTGACATGCACAAGACTTTCTGGTTGCTGGCGCCAAGTCTTGCATTACTTGCATTGCCAGGTTACGGAAGAACTCTCAGGACTTCAGGACTGCATGCTGCAGAGAGCTCCGTGATGTTGCCTCATGACTCATGCCGCTTAAAAAATTAGTGCCCACAGAGGAGTGGATGGAAGAGGGCGGCGCTCCATCAGCAGGAGTCCGCTTCGTAGACCTGCCCGGTCTGCTGGTCGCACAAGAGGGTTGCAGGCCGAGTTTCGGAGCGCTCTTGGATGTAAGATGAAAGGCTTCAAATTCAGCCTTGTCGCCGGCGAGGGCGGAGTGAAGGCTGGGGAGTGCTGTTGAGGCGCTGATAGCTCTCGCGGAAGCCAAGCAAACAGAGGTTTGGAGGAAAGCCAGTTTCTTCTTATCGATCTCTTTCAATATCTCTTTCATAATCATACAAATGCTTACACAAATCACCACATGCAAAACGAACACCACCGTTTCAAGCATAAGCTCGACGATCTCAAGAATCCACAGCCGAACAACGCAAGGCTCACCACGGGCTCCTCCGCCCCGAGCACTGCACCGGCAACATACTTCCAAAAAGTTAACCCACTCGCAACTCTTCGATCCCCGAGCCAGGCTGGCGATGTGCTGCTGAGAGTGCCCGCCTCGATGCATATCTCTCCGTCTTCAGTGCGCTCCGAGGCGGCAGCTCATGCGGCAGGGCCTTGGCGACGAGCTCTCAGTCTCAGCCCAGTGCGCCGAGGCTCCTCAGCGCTGGGGAGGGCACTGGAGCCCCTGCAGCTGGACGACAGCGCCGCCTGGAAAGCAGAAGAGAAAGCGGGACCGAGAACCTTCGGGTGCAACACGGATGACGGAGAAGTTTGCCTCCGAGGCGGTGCTGGCGCTGGGCCTCCTCACCGAGGTGAGCAAGAAGGAGCAAAGCAAGTTCTGGCCCTACCTCAGGCCAGGGCCAGCAGGGGCAGGGCCGCTCCTCTCGCTTAGTTCTTATGGTCGAAGAGCCGGATAAAATCGGGGAGGATCTTGCCTGGCGTCAGCGACCTTCACATTCCCCTGCTGTGGCCAGAGGAGGACCGAAGGTGGAGCCGTGCCAGCTCACCTGCCACAAAAGCATCGTCACGACCATTCTCTCTGCCCGGTCCATTGCAGGCGCCTCCTCGTTGGAAGCCCCCTGGACCTGGCGGCAGAGCAACAGCGCCTCGGGTTGCTGGAGCACCTTGGTTTGGACATGTCTAGGAGTCTAGGCAGAGTCCGGATCCTGCGCCTTTCGCGTGGGCCACTTGTGAAGTCGACCTGGCTCACGATTCGAAGAGATCAGTTGGTTCCCAAGTCCCCAAGTTCGCGGAAATCAGGTGAGATCATCAGAGATGAAAGCTGTCAGGCAATGGAGCAGCATCCAGGCGATGGCCAAAGACGTGCCCGACCTTTCCTCCGAGCTATCGGAGGTCCCCCTGGAATGTTCCGACGAATGAAGCGAAGCAGTTAATCGGAGTAAGGCTTATGTCTGTCATTACTTCGACTTGCCCGCTTCTTGCGTAGCTGTCGTTTGGAGGAGGAATGGTTCTGGGCGCATGCCATCGTCCTGACACGCGCATTGCCCTTTGGCAATGAGCTGTCACTCATACCCGGCCTCGATTTGGCCAACCACGAGCTCGGGTCCAACAACACGTGTTCCATTGGCGTGCTCCCTTGCAGCAAGCCAGCATGCAGCATACATGTGATTCTGTACTTGGAAGATGTGAGCTCTGTTCAGGGCTGCACCAGATGGTCAAGTGGTTGCGGCCACGGAGGAGGCGCAGCTGGAGGCAGCCCATTCAACCAGATTTTAGGTTTTGTTTGAGTTACGAAAGATCACAGAGCTCGCTGCCAGGGCAAAGAGCCAGAGGCCGTCCTCATGGCAGGCGAGCTCGTTGCATTCAAGACTCCCCAAAGAGACCGAGTGGCTGACAACGCAGGCCGCGACCACGCAGCTGGAGAGCAGATCTTTATCGACTATGATGGCGGCGTCGGGCTCCGCCTGGCGTGGGAAATGGTGCACACCTACGGCTATCCAGCTTGCAGAGCGGCAGTGTGGTCGCATGATGTCGCTTATTTGACAGCCGTGGATGCTGGCTTTCGAGGTTTTGTTCCGAACAACATGCCTGCCTATGCTGGCAGGCACGGCTGTAAACTTTACAAACTGCGACAGACCGTGTCTCCGAGAGTCGACCGTTCTGATATCCTACATGCATGTGGAATGCGGAATGCTCGCCACACAGCACATCCCAAAACGTGGGCCGCTGACGGAAAAAACGAATGCAACTTGTGTAGACTTGTGCAGGCCTGTATTCTTCGAAGGAGTGAAGGACAGCTGTGCATTGCCCCGGTTTCCTTGGGCACTTCTCCGTTCACAGCTGGCAGGCAGAGGATCCCATGGCCCGGCAGAAGCAGGCCCTTTTCGAGGCTCTGGGTGCGGACCCGGAGGCCACAGCTGTCCTGGGGAGTCCAAAAAATCTCGAAAGATATTTACGAACTCTGCAAGCGGAGGTCTTGCAAGGCTTCTGGCATGAAGTAAGGCCACTTCGAGCTCAGCCTGGACCTCAACTGGGCCATGCCAGGCGTTTTTTTCTGGGCTTTGAGCCGCTACTGTAGCAGGTGCCGGGCCATGGCGCCCAAGCTTCGCTTGGCCCACATGAAGAAGGAGGCTCGGGGCGTCTTCGCTGGACTCGAAGAGCCGAAGAAAGGCTTTGGCCATGGCAAGGATGGGCCCATAGCTGCGGACCTCGCAGCCTGGAGGGCAGAGCCCAAGGCACTGAGCAGGGCTTCTGCCGCGGTTGGCTTTCTGGGGAGTCGGCAAAAGCCTACAGCAAACAGTAGACTTACTCGTCGTAAAGATGCAGCTGTGCAGATTGCCGTTGCAAGATCTGCTCACCGATGCTACTACTGCGGAGCTTTGACGGTCATCGCACAGTCAATACACTTCCTGCCGCCCGCCACTCGGAAAGATAAACGGCCATGTGAGTCCGAAAGATTCCGAAAGGCTACCCTGCAAGCGCTGCAGTCGCCCATCAGCCAGGCGTGGGTGGATGTGGGTGGTCTTAAGTCTTGCGCTTGCTTCTTCTAACTCATCGAAACGGTGGCAGTCGAGGATGGGCTCGAAAAGGGCCAGCCCTGCTGCAAAGTGCACATCGTGTCGACTCTAGTGAGCCGGTTGCAGGACAACGAAAAGAAAGTTGCTGAGCAGGCTTCCCTCCTGGGCATGTGGCCCATGTTTTTTGTGCTGTTGCGGAGAGCTGCGCTGCCACATGTGCGAATGCGAGAAAACGAGTCCATTTGTCGCAGGTTTTGAGCACCTGCTCTGAAGCGCTCTCCGAGCTTCCCGCAGAAGAAGAGCTCAAAGACAAAGCTCTCGTCCGGGAGACGGAGAACGAGGCCAATAGCATGGAGTGGTCACGCCATCAGGGATTAAGTCCACCCTAATCGCTGTAGCGAACAACACGAAATAACCATGGTGCAAAGTTGGCAGTCCACAGATTTAGAGGCACTATACACTGGACAAAGGACGGGCCAGTAAAGGAATCAGAAGCCACCGCTTGTTCGTTTATTTAATTTCGACTTCGGGGAAGGTCAAACCATTCTTGCAACACAGATGCCACGTCAGCCACAAGCCGCAAAGCACAGGGCAGTCTACATCAGTTGCACTCCATGACCTGTGATCTCCTGAACACATCATGCAGAGTGTCTGCAAAGTCTGTAGGCCTACTACTGTATAGCGCACTGCTGTAGCACAACGCAGCGTAGCTTGGCCGCCGCTTGACTGAAGGGCGCCGCGCGGCAACTTCAATCGTAGAGGCAAAAGCCTGGTAGGAACCCTTTAATGAAAACATGAAGGGCCTCAACATCAGCGACGCAGCCTGGACGCCTGGGTTGGCATTGTTTATGGAGGGCTAGTGCGAGACAGTAATATCGTCAACACGATGGACTGAGCTTGTCCCTCGGCACATTACTGTCGCGTCCCTCTGCACACTACTATCGCATAAGTTTGACTTACACCGCTCCGCTGCGTGCAAGTGCAACTCTCGAGATCGTAATGCTTTTGACCATGCAGGATCCCATGGAAGTACGCTCTCGCCTGGCGGTGGCTTGGCATGATCCGCTGAAGTTTTGGCCTTTCAAGATGATCCAGTCATGGTGACCTGCACTAGCACAGCAAGCGCCCTTGTGGTACCGGATCATAGGGTGTTGCTACTAAACCGAGTGGCAATGTCTGAAGTAGGCGAGCACGAGGCACAGCAGCCAAGCAGCCAACAGCATGGCAGTCTAGCCTTGTCGTGTCTCAGAAGACTCAGGCTCGGGTGCTCCTAGGCGAACGACTCGCCCTGGAGACCTGCATCAGCGAATGGACTGGAAGCGAATAGTATGGCAGAGAGAAGCCCTGCAGTGCGGGGTTAGAAGTCACACCCGTCCAGCGCGGCACTAAAAAGGGCAATGCCAGCCAACCTTCCGTTGCTGTGGGCGACACGTGGATGTTCAATGCGAAAATCAATTTCAGACCGTAGGAAGCTTCTGTTGTTTCGGCACAACTGTGCTGTTCAGGAGTCTGCACATCCAAAGAGTTGTTGGTGCATTCGATTACTCGCTTCTCCCACTGGGCTGCACAACGTCCGTTCCTCGCCTGTATACAACACGAGACTCCAGAAATCAAGCAAGAGCTTGGCTCCGATGCGCCGAAACTCCAAGGGTCGAGAGACGCCGGGCAGAGATGGGCCCAGGTGTGGTCTGCAGCCCGAGCCAATGAGCTCGACTTGGCAACCTTGCTGAAAGCGGCAGAAGCCGCCGTGGCCTCTTTGCAGCAACGAGGCCCGAAGTTAGTTGGAAACCCGGAACCCGTGATAAAGCTAGTTAAGCCCACGCCCCTTCCCAGAACTTCCAGGCCCGCCAGCTCCACAGAGTGCAGGATTCCCACAATGCAAACCTCAACCGGAGATAGGGATAGGTTTTCAACAGGCGCTTATGATTGGTACGGGAATGCTGTCGGGGAAACTGTACAGCGGCCTTAATGCTGGGTTGATGGTCTAGGGCTCAAGGCGCAACAGAGGTTTGAGTTTCGGTCTTGCATTCTAACCTCGTTGCGGCTCCAGGGTGAGAGCAGAAGGCATGTTCTAGCTGTCCAGCGGCAGCATTTTGGTAAGTCATCTAAGGCACGTGCAAGTATGTCTGCCTGTCTGTCTGTCTATCTGGTAGGTAGGCAGGTCCATACTGTCCATACTTATATCTATGCACATATACACGTGCAACCTCTGACGTACTATGTGACCAGTATCATGTAAAGCAACTTGATACAACTTAGAGTACACTATGCTATAACACACACTCGTGTCGACCCGACCTGACCAGACTCGACAGACCAGAACGAAATCTTCAGTAGAGTATACTGACACACAGACTCACTCTTGTATATCATGTGACGAACATGTGTGTGTATAAATATATATATATATACATGTATATTTATACACATACATGTATGTATACATTCATACATACATACAGATATAGATATACATGTACATATGTATGCATGTATACATCCATCCATCCATACATGCACACCATATATATGTATATATACATCTACATATATATATATATATACGGATCTTAATTATACACATACATACGTATACACACGTGTGTGTGTACCTGTGAGAATGTCTAAGGCCTTGGGAGCTGGTGGCCCCGAGCTCCGCGCACTCGTGGCCGGAGCGGCCTTGCGGCGGCAGGGCGAGCTCGACGGGCCAGAGCCTCCAAATTGTTGGGAGTTTCCATTTGGGTAGTTGTCAAAATTATGGTCCCTTTTGGGGTACCCTAAATAATAGGTGCCGTATTTTAATAAGGACCCAAAAAGGGACCATAATTTTGACAACCACCCATTTTTAGGGCTTAGGAGTTTAGGCGTTCCGGGTAGAAGGTGTGAGAGTTCTGGATGCAGCGTAGGATGTGCAGACTTCTGGAGTGAGAATGTCATATTGGGCCACGAAAAGGTTTGCTACCAGTGGCAGTCACCATGTTGCTCTTTGCTCGTTATTCGGCTCTCGTCTCACATGGCACATTATAGCGCCCAAAGCCTGTTGAAAACACAATACTTAGCCTCTTTTTCCGGCATCGGCCTGAAAGAAGCCTCTGCGGGCTAAGTCGCAGTGCCTAGTGGCAGAGTGAGCACTTCGCCGTGACTTCCCTTGCCTCGAGCAAGGCCCACTGCCTTGGCATTCTCGGAGCTTTTGGGTCAGCTCGGCCTACATCCAGAGGCTCCAGCAGATGCTTTGGTCGCATGCTCGGATGGTGTGCGAGCGTGCCAGTTAGAAACAGCTGGATTTGCCAGGACGACTTGATGCTGGCGCTGGCAGACCTGACGACACCAGCACTTTATTTGTATTGACGTGACCCTTCTAAAACTCCAAATTCCACACGTAACACCCGCAGTCGGAAGTGACATCGAAGGATCAAGCCTTGCACTGCACCCCGTGGAAAGGCAGACACCACTCGTAGGTGCTTGGTCGCCCTGCAAGCACGGGCTTCGACTAGTAGCTCGCGGCCCACTCGGAGCGCTTCTTGGAGTCCCCACCAGCGATGCAACTCCCAAGAAAAGGATCCGGCGATCAACAGCCAGTTGCGTTTGACACGTGTTTGAAGCTCTTGCACAGATTTTATGAGACTTCTGTCACTCCGGAAACTAAGATGCACTGTACGGGTCTCGCCCTTGGACTTGTCTTATTCGCCACAGCTTTGAGGCTCCTAGCCCGGAGGCAACTGTGATGCTCCCATACCGGCGCACAACCCACCTTTGGCATGGAAAAGTAGACTCCTACCTGGAATACATCGAGCGAGTGAGCCCCAGCAACGCCCCACCTTGGGATTCGCAGGAAGGCTTATGTTGAAAACTACACGCAGCAAGAAAGCTCACATTTAGAGGGTTTTTTTCTTGGCCACATGCGGCGATCACGAGCGAAGGCGGTGTTGTCTTTGTTGACGGGCTGGTCAAGAAAAGGCATTCCCTGCATGGCAGCCTTGAGTTCTGAGAGAAACTCCCACTTCAAGCATCCAGATCTGGACGTTGTAGCAGTAGAGTCGCAGGAGCAACAGAAGCAGAAGCAGCAGCAGCAGCAGGTGTTGGTGTTGCAGTTGCAGTTGTAGTTGTAG